AATGTGTACACACAGAAAGTAGATTAGTGTTTTTTTAGGACTAGAGGTGAAGAAGATGGGGAGTGGCTGCTAGTAGATGGGTATAGTGTTTCTTTTGGGTGACAAAATATTGTAAAATTAAATTGTGGTGATAGTTGCACACTTCTATGAATAGGCTCAAAACCTGTGACTGTATACTTTAAATGAATGAATTGTGCGGTTTGAATAATTTCTCAATAAAGCTGTTCAAAAACTGAAAAATTAAAGCAGTAAAATCAGGGCAAAATAAGGATGTATTTTCTAGCATACTAATACTTGTCATTGAAATATGAGTTGTTGTTTTCCTTCGCCTCTGTAAACCCAATAACAATATTTTTCTCTAGCTAAAAATACATTTTTTTCCTAGCATCTGAGTATAACATCTAGGCTATGCTCAGGAGTAGAACAGACAAGTTATTCTGTTCAGTTAAACTTTTAATAACCGTGCTTACTTTGATGGTGCACATTCTAAAATTGAAGCAATATAAGGAACACCTAGCATGGCTTTTTTGCAAGGGTGCATTACCTCACTACAGTGTTTTATATATATTTTCTTCCTTTATTGAAGGAAGGAAGAGAAGACCTGAATAAATATATAGAGATGTGAAAATATAATATTGTAAAGACTGCAGTTCTCTGCAAAATCTCTGAACATGTAATGAAATCCCACTGAAAATCTCAGCAGGACTTTTCTTGTAACTTTACAATAATTGACTCTAAAATTTATAAATAAGAATGAAGTTGCAGTAGCAGCCCCAGACTCCCCCCAAAAGAGCATTTACTAAAATAGAGGACTGGCCTGTTGGCATATAGTGTCTAAGAAAGCCATGATAATGAAAATTGTGTGACTGATACAGAGAGAGGCCAATATGTGAATGAATCAAAAGAGTGCTAGAAATTGCCCTGCGCATGTATGGAAACCTGCCCTGTGTTAGAGATTGCAGTGTTATTCAGTATGTCGGAGTATGATAATTATGGCATGAACACATGTCAAAGATCTACTTATCAGTAAGAAAATCTGCAAGGTAGTAAAACTGTTCCAAGAGCATTTGGAGGGACTGAAGAAAGAATTTTTGAATAAGATTTGTTATATACAAAACTAGTTAATCTCTTACAAGGTAATAAAACCATCACCTTACCAAATTATTTGCTTATGTACCAGACAAAAAAACTACAAGTTAACGTATTATTTTGCAGAATATAGACCTTAATCAATAGAAATTAGCAAATCAAACAAAGGTATGTCCCTAGAGAATGAAACATTCCTTGGGTGGGTCTGTTAGACAGTGCTCCAACACGGCATTGAGTGAATGCGGTCTTTCTCGTGTCTTATTTCTAAGCTAAGAAGTAGCTGAAGAATAAGTTATTTATTACTGTTGGGATAATTGCCTGTCCATATGGGAAACAATTACATTTAGATTACACTGTACACAAAAGTGAATTCCAGATATACTTGTGTGTTATTTTATTTTCTATGTGTGTTTCAAACATTTCTCATTGAAATATGAGAAAACACGTTCTTGATATAATGCTAGGTAGTAGGTTAAATGAGCAAATTAGGTCTATATAAAAATACTATTGAATAAAAAGTCAGTTTGTAATATGATATACTTATGTGATAGTAATATAATTTTAAAAATACTATAGAATTTCTGGGACTTTATGTGCATATACATAAAAGCATAAAAAACTAAATTTTTATACCTCAGGAAAAATGAATAAAATCTAGGATTGTCTTATTAATGATTATTTAGTTCTGCTAAATTCAAGTCTTTTGTGCCTGGAAAAGATATTATAATTGTAGCTTTGAAACCTGCAACATTTACGAGGCACAATAGACTTGGTTTTAGCAGAACTTAGTAAATTTTAATGTTTTATGTATATGGTATGCCAAATCATTGGAGAAAAGATGTGGTCTTTTAAAAATTATCTTGGGAAAAATGGCAACAGATTAAGAAAAATGCATAGCATTACCTCATACCATCCTCAAATTATAAATGGATCAACACATTAAGTATTAAAAAGTAAGCAGCACTGGTAAAATTATGTTATATAATCTTTGTGGAGGAAAGGTTTTTTTCTAAGTATGCCCTTAAAATCAGATATCTGAAAGGGAAATGATTAGTTTTGATTAAATAAAAATTTCAATATTGGGGAGAATTTAAAAATTAAAGATAAGACAAATGAGAAATGGGGACATTTTCACAGTACATTTCAGAGACCATGTTTTTCTAGCCCTTATAAATGAATCTGTAAGAGAACAGATGGGCAAGAATGGTCTGAAAGGGTCAACAGCTCTTTAAATGTCTTTTCCTCTTTCTCTTCTTAGAAAGGGAGAGGACAGTCCTTGCCCTGGGGTCTGGTTTACCTGCGTGCTTAGCACTGTCTCGTTCTCCTGGTAAAAAGTTCTTGCGATGGAAAATAACCTGCCTTCAAACTACATTTTCCCTTATCTATGGAGTTTTCTTCCCTCTCACCACCCACACCCAACCACCCTTGTGAAAAGAACTTTGATTTTCCCTGAACCTGATGGGTACAATTTAGGTGACTTGATATATTCAAGACAAGATGAATTTTGAATATAAAATATTACAGAGTGTTGGGAAATCTGAAAGGTAGAATAGAATCAAACTCAACTTAATGTACAATAAGGGCATTGACATCATAGAATTAAAAAAAAAGCCTCTCACATGAAAACATGCTCAGTATCGCCAATTATTAGAGAAATGCAAATCAAAAAACTGTAATGAGGTATCGTGTCACAGCAGTCAGAATGGCCATCATTAAAAAGTCTACAAATAATAAATACTAGAGCGGGAGTGGAGAAAAAGGAACCCTCCTACACTACTGGTGAGAATGTAAATTAGTGCAGCCACTATGGAGAAAGTATGCAGGTTCCTTAAAAAACTAAAATAGAGCTACTATATGATCCAGCAATCCCACTCCTGGGCATATGTCTGGGCAAAACTCTAACTTGAAAAGATGCATGCACCCCAGTGTTCATAGCAGCACTATTTACTATAGCCAAGACTTGGAAGCAACCTAAATGTCCATCGACAGATGACTGGATAAAGATGTTGTGGTGTATATATATATATATATATACACACACACACACACACACAATTGACTATTACTCAGCCATAAAAAGAGTGAAATAATGCCATTTGTAGCAACGTGGATGGATCTAGAGATTATCATAGTAAGTGAAGTAAGTCAGAGAAAGACAAATGCCATATGATATCACTAATATGTAGAATCTAAAAAAAATGATACAAATGAGCTTATTTACAAACCAGAAATAGACTCACAGACCTAGAAAACAAAATATGGTTACCAAAGGGGAAAGGGCTGCGGGGAAGGATAAATTAGGAGTTTGGGATTAACATATACACAATGCCATATATAAAATAGATAAACAACAAAGACCTACTATATAGCATAGGGAACTATATTCAGTATGTTGTAATAACCTATAATAGAAAAGAATCTGAAAAAGTATATGTATATGTATATGTATAACTGAATCACTTTGCTGTATACCTGAAACTAACACAGCATTGTAAACCAGTTACGCTTTAAGAAAAAGAAGTAAAATTTTTAAAAAGCCTCTCTAAAGGGAAAGTCAATAACACATTCCTTTCTTCTCTATGGCTTGTGTATAGTTAAGCTGAATGGAGGCGGGAGCTTGTTGATTCTATTACAGTGCAGGGTGGGGCTTATTCTTAAACTCAGTGGAAATTTCCTTCTGTCCAGTATACCTGCCTCCATGTGTGTCTGTGAGGTAACTGGGTCAATGAAGTGGCCTAAGATTCTGTAAACAAGATCCTTCTCCACCTCCTCTATGTTAATAGCTCGGCATTCTGTGGTGTCTATGCAATGTTTTTTAAATGTAAGATACATGCCCTTTAACTACAGAATTTATTGTTAGGAAATACTCAGGTAAGTGAGTTAAAGGGGGCCTATTGCAATATTGTTTGTAATGATAAAACATTGGGAGAAAAGAACGTATCTCAAAATGAAGGATAAGTAACAAATTATGTTACCTCTATTCAGTAGAATGCTATACAGACAGTGACTATGAGAGAGTAACTCCATATTGATTGAGAAGAAAGGATTCAGGATACATTAAGCATATAATGAATGAAACCAGAATATCTTATCCCAAAATACGTATGCCTCTTTGACATAAAAATCATTTTGAGCCAAAGGCAATCAAGAAGCAGTAAACACTGAAAAAGTTCTCCCTTCTGCCCAAAGGCAGGACATCAATTCTCTTTGTACTAGAGATAGACTCTTAGAGCTCCGAGAGTCTACAAACAAACCTTGTTAAATTCACCCTTTTTTTCCTAGTTATTTCTTCACCATTTACCCCTAGCCCAACCCCTGTGTCCTGCCAGTTCTTCACAGATTTGTTGTTGTGTTGTTTCTTGATCTAAGAAGTTTAAAATATTCCTGCTCTGGTCATTTCTTTGGGTCTTCATTCTCTTAGGAAGGCTCCCATGTACATGTAAAAATTCAGTCAAATGTATATGCTTTACTCTTGTGGATCTATCTTTGTCAGCTTAATTTTCAGACCCAGCCAGGAACCCTATGAGGGTTGATGAATGCTTTTTCCTTCCCTGCAATAATATTCCATTTCAATAAAATAGAATAATATATGTATAGATTTACTTGGGAAAGAGCTGGAAGGATATCGACAAGTTACAATGGCTGTTTTGGGTAGACAGCTTTGGGGGGTGATTGCAATTAATTTCTTTTTTGTGTACTAGAATAGAAAGAAAAATAAGTTTATTGTATTGAGGCTGTATTTCAGGAATGTTCACCACGTAACTGAGTAGATTTTGCTATTTGATTTTCAAAATTGAGAAAGGAGGTGAGATATTTTAAATAATTGAAGAGCTTGTGTCTTGTACTTGAATGTGTGTAGACTTCTCTTACAAGACAAAGAAATACAAACCTCACTGCCTTTTCATTAACAGGCCTTCCCGAGTGGATATGGCAACAAGCAGCCAACATTTCTCATCATTTGATACAAGACAGGCATCTGGACAGCATCGAACATCTAATGTGAAAAGGTCAGGAAGCGGGTGTGGGTATTCCTGGGGGACCGGGGAGAGGAGCCCAACCCTTTGATGACTTGTGACGTTGATGTTAGAGTGGGGCTTTGTGTTTTACTAACTGGTGGGGTGGGGAAGAACCCCGGGCAGATGTACTGCCCACCTTACAAATTAGGGAGGGAGACTGGGAGCTGCTAAGGGATGTAGTGAATAGAAGGCACTGTTAACATAAAGGAAAAACAAAACTTAGTTCAGCTCTTGGTGCACAACTCCCCTTTGAGCCTTTTTTATCTTAAAAAATTTTAACTATTAATTTTATTATAAAATAACATAACCACATTGCCAAGCATTGGGAGAGATGGAGGAAAGAAGAACTATGAGCACGTTAACACAGACTTAGAATTTTGGTGCACTTCATTCCAGTCTTTTCCCTGGGCACATGCTCCTTTGTGTGAATGTAGCCATATGTTTTTCATTGAATATTGTATTATGATTATTTTTCTACTTACATTCTTTTTGTAACGTTGGCTTAAAAGTGTATTTTAAGAACCATTCCTTGTGGAAAATGCAGGAAATATAGAAAAGCACAAAGGAGAGATAAAATACATATTATCGTCACCACAACTAGCTTTTTGGTGTGTGTCCTTTCTTTTTCTCTTCTTACGTAGAGATACTACTATTTTTTTGCTTAATTGGGATATTAATTGTACTATTTTGTGACCTGCTTTTTAAATTGTAATATATGATGACATTTTTCCTTTTCACTAAATATTTTTATAATATCATATTTGACTACTGAGTACTGTTCCTTTCTGCCCATTTTAGAATTGTTTTAGCCAGTTGTCTCTTTTTGAATATGTAAATTGTTCCTTTATCGGATATTAAGGCAACTAACTCTGTGAAAGCTTTATTTTAGTACCACGAGAAAGTGCTTTCCATCCATCCTTATAGGTTTATTAAACCTTAAATTATACAGCACATCTTCAGCATTTTAGATTTTGCATTTGAAATTTCAGCTATTTTTGAGTATGTTCAAAATATTCATGGACTTGGCAGTTTGTCTTAGGATTCAGCCCTCACAATATATGCAAGGGGTACAGTATTATAGGGACTGAGGAGTGGAGATGAAGTTGAAAATAACACCCAAGGATCTGAAGGCATTTATTTTCCACATTACTTTTGTATTCCATATGTCTCTGCTCATGGAAATCTGAGCTATCTTCAGAAATCTGTGTTCTTCTCTCATAGTTGTCCTCTAACCCATCTGATAGTTTCCTAGGTAACCACTGCATCAGCATTTATAATGCTGAGTTTGAAAGCTGAAATAAAATAAATTAAAAAATATTACTGAAAGCAGTGACAAAGGGTGAGCATTCAGAGACAGAGCTCCCGGCTCGATCGGTACGCTGGGAGTCTGCAGCAGGTGTGTAGCTGTGGGAGGCATGAGCAGTACACGCCATTTCCAAAAACAGCAAAACAAACGAGAAGAGGGTGGAGAAAGGAAGCTTCAAGGAACACAGACATCGGAGGAACAACTGATGGAATGAGTTCAGTCAAGCACTGTGGAGATGTGAGGGACAGGACGATGCAGTGAGATGCGGCTGCAGGTTGAGCAAGGGGTTGGGGGAGAGGCATGTTCTGGAATAAGGGTAACAGAGCCACGTGTTACAAAGAGGTCTACAGGGATATAGGCTGAAATGCTTCCTTTATGTCCTGTAGTTAGGTCATCAGAGACCATTCGCTTGGAGGGTTTCAAGGAAATTGGGGTGGGAGCCAAGCTGCAGTGGCTGAAGATGAATGGGGTTGTGGTGTAGGAATAGTGAGAGTCAACGCCTTTTTGAAGCTCTTGTCCCTGACGAGAAGGGGTGGGAGAAGTTCAGGAGAGAAAACAAAATCAAGAGGAGGTTATCTTTTTTTTGCAGGTTTGACTTTAAGTAGAAATGAGTGAGATTTGTGTGTGTTTCTGAGCTGGAAAGAGGGCAGAGAGGAAGAGGTCAAAGATAAATAACGGCAGAAACAGGGAAATGTAAGAAATAGTGTAAAGGCATCTTCCAGTATAGTCTTAGCACGTGTAGGTTTCATTTTAAAATTAAATTTTCTTCAAAAAATTAAAAATTCCTACTCTGCCTTTTAATCAACAGGTCTTCTAATGCATTTGTAAAAACAAGCACTTGTAAATTTATTGTGGAGCAGCCCAGAAGGACATCTGCCGAGTTGAGCAGTGCTTCAAACTTGAGCAAGTATGTGGGTAGTTAGACTGTGTAGAGAGTAACAGAACCTGACCTGATGTGTTGCTTACTCCTCATGTGACTGTTTGCTCCACAGACAAAGCTGTGAGACAGTCAGGGAGTGAGTTGGTCACTATTTAACAAATGAACAATCTTGGATGACAAATGACATACCGAGGGTGCTTCAGCCAGGTAGTGAATTGCTTCCTGATGCTCTGTCTTCTCATTTCCTGGCCAGGGCATCTTTCTTTTTTTCCTTTTTTTCTGCTACTTTGTTTCTTTTTTCTCTTGGGGAGGAAGTAATTAGATTTATTTATTTATTTATAAATGACGGTACTGGGGATTGAACCCAGGACCTCATGCATGCTAAGCATGTGCTTTACCACTGAACTATATCCTCCTCCACTCTGGCCGGAGCATCTTTAATGAACCATTTGGCTCCCTGGTTATAATCCTTCTCATTTGTTTAATCTTACGAAGTGTTTTGACAGCCATGGTTTCTTTTGATCGTACTTCAACTTGAAAGAGCCAGGTAAGAATCTTTCCACATAAGGATGCTGATGCCCAGAAGGGTATATGGCTAACTAAAATGCCTTGCAACTCTGAAACTCTTTGAGCTTGAGTTACTGCTGGTGTTCTTACAGGGCACCAGTGACAAAGTTTCAGACACTTGTAAGTTTTATGTTCATCACTTTAGATCTGTTAACACACTAGTTGTCACACAGAAGCAGCTGTGTTAAAGTCACTTTTAGAAAAACGAGGAAAGACTTTCCACCCTGGTCCAGAGCCTTCCTATCATTTCCTCCTCTTACCGTATTTTTTTTTTTACTGTATCTTTTTATTAGAGTTGAGAGACATGTTGTTTGGTCTTCCATGGGACATGGAACGATGCCAAGGTTGCCCACTTTTCAATCTCTAAGATGAAGCGTATTTTGTCTTCTTGATCTACTTGAAAAATTTGTCAAAAGCAGGAAGTAGAACAGAGGTCAAGGGTGTCTGGATTCAAGGAATGGAGAGCAAACTTTTTACAGACTTTGTTATACTTCACTTACCAAGCCTAGCCTGTCAGCTCAGTGTGGGCAGAGACCACTGGTAGCTTTATCCCTTGATGAAGGCAGGTGTTGGAGAATCCCAGAGGTGTGCAGGGAGTTCTGATCACTCAGGAGGCTGAGTTCTAGAGACTGTTTAGTGGGATGAAGTTTTCAAATGGCTAAATCATTGAGGTTATGGCCAAGTTTTGAAGAGGAGCTTGTGAGAGAAAAGGGAAAACCTCTCTTGGATTGTTTAGTAGATAATGCAGCATAGAGAGAGTTACTGTTTAATGGGTATAAGGTCTCAGTTTTGCAAGATGAAGTCCTGGAGGTTGGTTGCAACAACAAGGTGCCTATCCTTAACGCTACTGAACAATGCACTTGAAAACAGTTCAGATGGTCAATTTTGTCTTATGTGTATGCTACCACAATGAGGAAAAAAAAAATGCAGGACAGATAACCCAGACATTATTATGTTGAGTTCAGCCTAGCTTTCTTTGACCTCCTTCTTCTTATGTTTTAGTTCTGTAGGCTAAGTGCTTTTTAAAAACAATTGATCAAAGCTCCACTCTTTCTGTTAGTTGATAGATCTACCAAAGCAGACGTGATGTGAAGCACCGCGGCACCACTGTGGAGTGGTTTTGGATCAGAACTCTGCGAGCCCGTCTGGTTCTGAAGGACGAGCACATAATTCACACAAGGAGAGACTAGCCACTCATATTCCTTTAAAAATAATAGCATTTATCTGTTCCTTTTTATGAATTATTTAGTAGCATTTTGACCGTATGTTATCTCTTCAATGTTAATACCTGTTGAGGAGATACTGTCATATCCTCATACACCTTTTATAGATGAGGAAACAGAGCGTCGGAGAGGTTAGGTAACCTGCCTACAAGTTCATCGCCCTGCACAGCCCACCGTGGACTGTGAGCGTGCCGGGTGCCTCCTCTCCCCTGGACAGTTAACAAGGCCCTGTGCCAGGAGCTCCGTCGTCTGCTTGTCCAGCCGCAGCTGCCCCCCAGCCTCACACAGCTGACACGTGTTGGTCTGGAGCTCTTGGGAACATGGGCTCCTGTATTTGCTTGGGAAAGAACCCTCAAGACTCCTACACACGTTGGTAAAAGTCTCTGCAGAGTACTCTCTGACCCTGCTACCATTCTGTGCCTGCACATCCTTGAGTGTTTAGTTCTTTCTTCGGAAGAACTGTCTCTTTTTGGCCCCAGTCTAGAGCCAGCTGAGATGTTGGTAATGGGGTCAGATCAATAGAGGTCAATCTCTCAGCTGTATTATTCTTAAAGACTATATTGGAGGATGTAGGCTGGAGGCATGGAGAAATGGGCTTTGACACACGTCTCAGTAAAATTTAGGTTCTCACTTGCAAGCTCCCCTTGTGAGGATGGTGACGTGGTGGAGTCGAGACTGCCCTTCCCAGCTCACGGCCGTGTGGAGAGCGTAGACTGTTACGGGTCCGCCTTCCCTACAGGAAGGGGCCGGGTCACTTGTGCCCAGTCAGATGGCTCCTCTCCCAGGAGAGGAATGAAGAGGTGGGGGTCCGGGATGGCTATCAAGCTGAGTTCCCCACCAGGGGAATCTCAGGAGTGAGGGGAAATATCTCTCCCGCACAGCTGTTGCTTTCCAACTCACCTGCGAGTTTCCCAGGTAACTAGTCAACATTCCCCATACTCACCTATTGCTACTGAGCCTTTATTACATAGAAATGGATTTAAAAGAAGTTCGTAGTAGAGGCGCTTTTGGACAGTTTTAAAATGTGAGTAACTATTTGGGTGTGCCCTTATTTTAAATAATTGATTTATCAAGTAAAAGAGGCAAATGAAATGTAAGGAGTAATTTAGAGGAACTTAAATGTACAGCATTATTATCTGTTGGTTTCTTAGACTTCTGTTCATTTTAACACGAATCATAAAAATCTCCTCTCTGCTTTTTCTTTAATAGTTCTCATAGTTAACAAGGTTGAGAGTGGGTCATCAGGTTACGAGCAAAGTATGGAGAAACTTTGCCAGGTCAGAAAGGATGAGTGTGTGTGTGGTTCTTATCAGGCAGGCGAGGCTGGGCAGTTTGACCCTCCTAGGTAATTGTTCTAGTGCCTCAATATACAGAATTCATTATACTTAGATTTCCACGTACTTAACCTGACCTTTATAACTACCTTGTAAAGTAGGAAGCGGAAACCTAGGGAGGTAGAGTGAATTGTTCAAGGTTATCCAGCTGGTAGAGATAAGACTTTTTTCTTTAAACATTACTTTTATGTTTAAATTTAAAATTTTTTTTATAAATCAAATTTGCATCCTATGAGTAACATGAATAGAGTTCAAGTAATTTGGAAAGAGGAGAAATAAGTCCCCAGTTACCTCTCTACCCACTGTAGTGTCAGTATAAATTCTGAGTCCTCGGAGGGTAGAAACGAACTCCCCAGGTGAAGAACTGAAAATGGCATTGGGAGTCTGAGATCTGGTTATCTAGGACCACAGTTTCAGTGGAAGCAGTACATATGAGTAGTCGTTGATGGAGGGTCTTGAAGCAAAGGGGCTCCTGGGCTCCTGAATAAAGCAGAACTTTCTCTGGATGTCCTTAGCGAAGAATCCAGATTCCTGTCTGCCTGCTGCTAGCTTGATCCACAGTAGCCCTCTTCTCCCCTCCCCCCTCCTCAAATCTTCATAAATAAAAGAATTCTGACGTGTTGATTATCCTGTAAGGAGTATAACCTTTATGTTACAAAGGGCTAGGTTTTCGCTTCTGTTTGCCCTCATAGCTACTAAGGTTTTAATGAGAAAAACTTCTTAACAAATAATGCTTCAGATGTTCTGAACATATTTTATTCGGCCTTTATCCTCCATATTGGCATTTTATTCTTTCCCCACTGCCATGATTGCTAACTTGTGCTACACAATTGCTTAGATAAAGAAACAGGTTATTATTTTAGATATTGTTCCTTTTAAAAATATCTTTTACCTTTAAATGAACACATCTTCTTAATCAGAAACAGGAAGAAAGAGTCTTCACTTTACCAAAGTTATATATTAAGAGAGGCACCTGGGTGGGGCTCTGACAATCAAGACTGTGAGCGTGCAGTCCCTCTGGGCTGGGCCGGGCACTCGCAGCTTTTGCAGAATTATACCCGTGGTTGTTAATTTGCATAGGCTTTGACAGTTCACCAAGCACACTCACAAGCACTGCCTTTGTTCTCTTGCACTCATGGTGAAATGGGAGGCCATTTCAAAGATGAGGCAATGGACTCAGGAAGTTAAGTGACTTTCTGAAGGTCACAGGCTAGTGAATGGCAATGCTGACTTCTGATTTCCGGTCCAGGAATTTTCATCCCACCTCATCAGGCTTGAAGAGGAGGAGGAGGATGCCATGTGGATGAGCCTCGTGGAGATACTCGGCTGTTTGTAAATAGTCATACTCATCACTGTGGTCTGGGCGGACAGGTGTGGGGCTGGGCAGAAGGGTTTGAACCTCATGTGGTAGGTGTGGGCAGCCATTGTAGGTTCATAATTTAAGGGGACAGTCTGATTGAAATCTGTTTTAGGAAGAGTCATCTGAGAGTGGTATCCAGGATGAATTACAGCAAAATCAGTATTATCTGGGAACTTGTTGGGCCCGCCCCAGGCCTGCTGAGTCAGAAACTGGTGGTGGGGTGCAGCAGTATGGTTTAACCTGCCCTCTGGTGAGTCAAATGCACGCTGAAGTTTGAGAGCCCCATAAGCAAAGCAAGGAATAGGAAGGCATTCTTGCAGACTGTTTCACAATTCAGACTTGAGGTGGTAATAGTCTCAGTTAATGTGATGGCAGCAGAAATGGAGAGAATACCTGACTCCAAGATGTGTTTGAGAAGTCCTGGTCGAGATTAAACTTGCTGTCTTGGTCAGTTGTTGTAGACCCCACGGTCACACCAGTATTCTGGGAGGGAATGAGGTGTCAATTTCATGTGAACGTGTTACTAAAATGCTAGAAGGGTTCTGGTCACGGTGTTTGGAGGTGCTCAGCGCCTACTTTCATTTCTCCCTCTGAGCTGAGCTTGCAAGTGTATCCTCCCAGGGGCCAGCGTGGCCGGCTGAGATGCACAGGTGGTGATTTGTTTGGCAAGGAGACCAGTATCTGTTCATGGCCCATTTCCTGGTAATAAAGGATGAGCTGTACTCCCAGAGAGCTGGTGGGAGTGGAGGTTAAGAGGACAGGTGAGAGATGACAATGGAAAACTGAATGGTTGGAGGGAAGACACTATTAGAAAGGGAGTAGCAGGGAGAGGGTATAGCTCAGTGATAGAGCGCATGCTTAGCATGCATGAGGTCCTGGGTTCAATTCCCAGTACCTCCTCTAAAAAAAAAAAAATTAACAAATAAACCTAGTAATCTCCCCCCACCAAAAAGAAAAAAGAAAGGGAGTGAGATTTCTGAGCTAAAAACTTCCCTTTGTTCTTAGAATAAAATCCATCTTCTCTGCCACTATGGTTTCTGGTTTCTGGTTTCTGCCTGCTTTCTGTCCTCCTTTCCTCCCACTTTCTGCCTGGCTCACCACATTCCCAGCTTAGTCTCCTCTTCTCCCCTCAACCTAGATATTCCCATGGTGCTTCCGTTCTCCAGTGCTCAGATGTCACCCTTTTAGAGAGCTTTCCATGACCATCCTCATTAATGTTGGCCTTCTCCCCACTCCTCTCCGCAAACCAGTTTCTTTCCTGGCCTAATTATCCCAGTCTGAGATGATCTTAGTTACTGGTCTTGCTCAAGTCTGCCCTCCCTCCCCAGGAGCATGAAAGGTCTTTGACAGCCCAGAATCCTGTGTGTCTTGTTCACTGAGTGCCTGGCACATAGTTCGAGCTCCAGAAATAGTACTTGAATGAATTCTAGGTAGAGATTTGATGGGGGTGGTGGTGGAGGAAGTAGGGGAGAGATGTGTCTGTCGACACCAGGCAGCAAATGACAGCTAACATGGACTGGGTAGTGGAGGTGGAACAGGATAAATGCAGGAGATGTTCAGGAAGTAACATGACAGAATTTGGTGATGGACTTATGTGGGAGGTGTAAGCAACTTTATTGTGAAAAATATTCCTCCTTAGAGAGGTTTGTGAACTCCTAGCATTTTTATTTGAACTCTTCTTTCACTGGAAACTCAAGGGCAAAGCAGTTCTGTAATATTATTAGTCAAGGTTCTCCAGAGAAACAAGACCAAAAAGATATATTGAGAGAGAGAGACACAGAGAGAGATTGATTGATTGATTGATTGATTGATTGATCATGGGAATTGGCTGACTTGATTATGGAGGCCGAGAAGTCGCATGGTCCACTGTCTATAAGCTGCAGAACCAGGAAAGCTAGTGATGCATTTCAGTCTGAGTCTGAAGGCCTCGGAAGCAGCAGCGCAAGAGAGCAGAAGATGGATGTCCCAGCTCAAACAGAAGGCAGTCACGAATTCACTTGTCCTCTGCCTTTTTGTTCTGTGGTGGCCCTCAACGGATTGACTGATGCCCACCTAGCTTGGGGAAACCCACCACTCAGTTCACCATCTCAAAGGCTAATCTCTTCCAGAGACACCCTCTCAGACAGAGAAATAATATTGTACCAGCTCTCTAGACATCCCTTAGCCCATTTAAGCTGATGCGTAAAATTAACCATCACAAATTCTGAACTCTCCTGCTAACCTCTTTTCCAAGAGGAGAGGTGCCTTCAGATCGTAGGCATGAAATTCTCTTTCTACCCAGAGCTGTTTCAACATCCAGCTGCCCACTCAACAATATTTACTGACATGTGCTATGTTCTAGATCCAGCGGAAGGCACTAGCGGTCCAGCAGGCACAAGATATTTTGGATGGTAACAAGTGATATGATGTAAACAAAACTGAGGCAGGATGGGGTGGGGTCAGTGAGACAGCTGTGAGTTGGTGCTTTTTGAGCTGAGATCTGAAGAACTAAAAAGGAACCGGCCATGAGAAGACCTGGGGCCAGAGGGTGGCTGGCTCCCTGTAGCACCTTCAGAACCCACCCATGGAAGATGAGTCACTCAAGCTGGATTTTGTTTTCACGCTTGACAAATGAATTTGGAGAGGATGGTGGCATGGAAATTCAACTTTCAGCACTTTTCAATAAATCATTGTACTTGCTCATTGACTTACTGAAATATTTTCTTATTAAAACTTGTTACATAAAACATTTTAATGATGGCTCTAGTTTTACAGAGCAGAATTTCTATCATTCATAAATAATTAAGACAGTTTTTAAAAGGTAAAATCATGACTCATACAGATATAAAAGCGAACATGTATTAAAGTTTTTACTTTAATTCATTAATCAGTGAGAGAACTAGGCAGATGTTAAAACAGATTCAAAGGAGAACTCGAAGGCGCACAAACTTACATGGAGTAAAGGAATATTGAAATGGATGTGCAAATTCAGGCACAACCAGCTTTTCCCACAGTGGATGAGGGAAGTCAATTGAAGGCCAGGAGAGAATTTACATGTGTTAAATAACAGAAGTTCAACTGAGTAAATTTAAACATCTGATTGTCATTCTTAGGCATTTCATGAATTGGGCAGCATCCCAGCTAGCAATAGAAGGGAGCTCCGTCAGGCTGCAGGAAAGGAGAGGGTTTTAAAGGCAGAGAGGAACCAGGGGAAAAAAGGAGATTATTAGCAAAAGGTGCATTGTTTCAGACTAGGCCCCCCTCCTAAGGGGAGTGGAAGGATTCTATTAGCAGATTTCCTAGTGTTATTCAGGAAATTCCAGGTTGGCTGGTTGAAGATCACCTTCTTGGGGAAGATTGAAACTGTAGTTAGGTTATGTTTAAGTCCTGGCTGGACTTAGCATAAGTGACTCCATTTTGGTTATTTGTTGTTTCTCTTTTAACACATGTCTATAGACAACAATTATTTTGCACTGCTAGCAGTTACATATAATTTACAGGGCTCTAAGAGAGCTCCCTTAGAATCAAATGACCAGAGCAAATAACCTGGCAAGGTCTCCTCTAGATTTTAGACAATGCAGTTTTCTCCTGAAGCACAGTTCTTTCCCCTGCATAATCAAACTGAAACAAAATAACCTCTGCTCCGCACCTCCCATGAGTAGAGGTAGTTCCTACACTTGTGGTCTTTGGAGTGATGGGGGGACAGCTATCATTTATTTAGTGCCTGCTATGAGCATTATTTGTCAGTTTATTCCAACCTCGAAACAGCCCCATGAAGTAGGTGGTGTTCCCATTTTACAGATAAGAAAGCCAGGTTCCCAGAGATTAAAGAAATAGTGGGTAAGTGGCAGAGTTAGAATTTCAGCCTGTCCTTCTGTCTCCAAAGTGTAAACACACACGCATGCTCTCTCTCACCCCTATAACAGCTTGCTAATAGCAAAAATCATAGAAATCCTGTGTATTTTTTTCTTGATCTTTAGGTCGCCGTCAACCAAGGTAGATCTCAGGAGTGGCCTGGAAGAATGCTCAATGGCGTTGAACTTATTTCTAAGTAACAAATTTACTGATGCCTTAGAATTGCTTCAACCATGGTAATTAACCTTATTTCTTTGGGATAAAATGTATTTTTTCAGATGCTTTTGACGATTTGGTCTTTGATGCCATGCTTGTCAGTTAATTTTTCTGCATTTCTACTTGAATATTTATAAGCTAATTTGGTTGAAACCCCTAAGTGTTCGTTAGTTTTAATATCCAGTTAGGAAATCTATCTTCCTGACTTTAATTTGTCGAGAATTTGATTCTTTCTCCTATCTTAATTTCTATACTGGTTCAAATCATGTCATCTCTGTAGTTTTGTAATGCTTTATTTTGCTTTCTTTGGTGAAATATTTTTATGTATATTCCTCTTGAGCTTAAATATCACTGGGAATAGTTTTCCTTTGAAATGGAATGGGGAGAATAAAACATACTCGTCTCAGATGCTGGGAAGAAATTTAAGATAATAAAAATATTATTGGGACTCTCTATTTATGTGATAAACAAGCTCAGCAAGTTAATTTCTTTTTTTGGGGGGTGGGTAGAGGTAATTAGGTTCATTTATTTATTCACTTATTTTTAATGAAGGTACTGGGGATTGAACCCAGGACCTTGTGCATGCTAAGCAGACACTCTACCACTGAGCTGTACTCTCCCCCCAGCAATTTAATTTCAATTAATGGCACCCGTTAATTTTGATGATGTGGCAGCAAAAACCCATGCTGAGCTTTCTTCCTGGGCCTGACTTTGGCCACAGTCCCTACATGTGCACGCGACTATAGTTTCCATCGTGCCTTCAGACACAGTGGCTTACTTGGATGCAGTTTAGACCTCATGTAGTAGTTTTCAAGATGGTTACTTGGGCACAAGAGTGGAACTCACATTCCTTTGAGTAGTCAGTCAGACGACACGACTCTGGTCATTGACTTTGAATCTTAGAAATTAACCTACCTACTGAGGCTGCGGTAATTCTAAGATTTAGAAGAGCTGCGGTCAGTTAGCATTTCTGAGGTTAGGAACAGATGATAAAGTGGATGGCGAAGCCCCTGGTCTAAGAAAATTGCCCGGTGTTGTCTCAGACACTTGTCTCACAATCTCTGCCTTGCCTGTCTCCAGCCCTCTGTCCTTTCCAGTCTCTCAGACCTCTCTCCCTCCCTTCCTCTTCTGAGTCTATATCCCTCTGTCTTCCTCCCCTCTCTGCCTTTCTCTCCTTGTCTCTCCTCTCTCAATCTGCCTGCCTCTTCCTTTGTTTTTCATAGTCTTCTTTTTCTCTTTGCCAAGGACACCCCGCTGGTCATAGTATGGAATGAAAATAAATGCCTTAGTCCTGTATTTAGTCAAGAATTCTATTCTCTGATCTTTATGTTTGTTTCACTGTTAAATATATGTTTTTCCCACTTGAATACTTTTTTCCTCTTGGAGAAGCTTTTGGTTTAAAATGTGAGGTTTAAACCACCCTCGCTGGTTAATTCTGGGCTGCTCTTACTCCTTGTGGGTTTTTTTGTTGTTGTTTCCTTTTTTGACTAGCTAGTGCCCTCACTGTTTCGGGACTAACTGCGGATTACCAAAGGATGTTTAGACTGTCTCCAGAGGGGGGAGAAGAATGTGGCTTGTGTTTGTTTTGCAGAGCAGCAGTATTATATTGGAATTAAAAACAAAACCCTGCATTAATGTTTTAAACCTTGTAAATAACTAGTTAACATAGCTTGAGAAGTTTTGAGAAAAGAAATTATGTTTTCACAGCCTGAGAGCCTGGGGTGGGCCATCTTTTAGGACTAATTAATATCCTTAAGAATCAAAGCAGTTCTCACTGATAATTTGATAATTAGAGTTATCAAGAACTTTCATTAAGGATTTCCACATAATGGGATTAGATTCTGTATGACGTCTACCATGGATTTTTGTCTGGGTCCTTGTGGCTGACCTAACTTGCTGTAAAAATATTGCTTCCTCATGGCCTCTGGCTGGGAGAGGGGAGTTGATTTTAAACAAGCCTTATCTTTCAAAAACCATATCAGAATTTCTCTGCCACAAAAAAGCTTTTCAGCGGCCTTTAGTTGAGCACTTATTTCAGAGCTAAAGACAGTACACTGCTTGTTCAACTGGGAAAAATCAATTTGCTTTGAAACATTGTCTAGGAAATGAATTGGCAGGCTGCCCCCTTGTGGTGGAACAGGGAAAAGCACACATCACATTCCGCTTCAGCCTGGAATGTTTCCTGCTGCCCCCGTGGGCTTGAATTGGAAAAGTCTCTGGTGCTTGAGTTTTTTTAGGGCATGCTTTCTGTAGTCCACATTATTTCAGTGGTCATGGTAAAGGAGTAAAGGTCATCACTGTGAAAGTCACAATGTGGATTTACTGGATTTCTTGTGGTTCGTATCAGATGAGACCTAAACGCTTTCCGGCTGAATTGAAATGTATTACTTTTCCGTGTCCTCCCCAGGGCGAAGGAGAGCATGTACCATGCCTTGGGCTACAGCACCATTGTGGTGCTGCAGGCCGTCATGACCTTCGAGCAGCAGGACATTCAGAATGGCATTTCTGCCATGAAGGACGCCTTACAAACCTGCCAAAAGTATGAGCTGAGCAGTTAAATACTTGGGATATGCCGGCAAGCTTTGCTGTCTGTGTGAGAAAATGGATGCACTTTGCCTGACTGAGAGCTCTGTTTGAGGTTGGCCATGGTTATAGAAAAGGGCTTGAGCATCAGATTTCCCAGCCTCATGTGGTTTTACGTACTAGAGATAAACATTTCCAGTAAGGGATTATAGTGTGATGCTGGTGTGGCTGAACACTGGGCATCTATACTGTCTACTTTTCTCGTTAGTAACTTGAGCTACTGAGATGGGCCGAGGGAGATTTCAGCAGGGTTGGCAGCAAGCATCTCTCAGGGGTCTCTGTGGGTGGAGCGTTTAGGTGCTACATGCCAAGCCAGGCCAACCAAGGAGCATTCTTTAATGTGGGAGATGTTGCGAATTCAGAAGGGAGTCTTTTGTTTGTCTAAATGAACACATTTGAACAGCTTTGGGTGGTGAGAATGAGATGGAGTTTCAGTTTTCTTTTAATCTTTGTGTGTATAGACAGCCCCTAGCAAAAGCTGTTAACTAGCATTGGTGAATTTTAACACGGATGAAGTTATGTCCTCGTGTAGTGATGTTGCCAGCCCCTCAAACGAAGAGGGATTCCAAACACTGCACTCTAACTCTGTTTTTTTTTTTAATTAAAGCTTAGTTGATTTATAATGTATGTTAGTTTCTAGTGTACAGCATAGTGATTCAGATAGAGATATATATATTCTTTTTCATTATAAGCTATTACAAGTATTGAATGTAGTTCCTTGTGCTATACAGTAGGATCCTGTTGTTTATCTATTTCATGTGTAGTAGTTGTATCTGCTAATCCCAAACTCCTAATTTATCCCTCCCCTCATTTCCTCTTTGGTTACCGTAAGTTAACTCCATTTTTAACCCGTGGCGACTCTTACCACAGAAATACTGATTTTAGGCATAAAGATCAGGGGAGGCACTTGAGTGGGGTAGCAGTCACTGTTTTGTGGAGGTTTGTCCAGTCACGTGTTCAGTAAGCATGGTTGGATGCCCACAGATGCCAGTCCAGGGCTGGGAGCTGGGTGTGCTGGGTTCAAAAGGTTGGTCTCTATCCCCAGACTTCAGAGTTTAGAGTCCTGCCTTGGTGACTCTTTGGTATGATTGTGACTGATATGGATTCAAATGAAAATGAGCTTGGCCTGATTTATTGTTATTTTTTCCTTCTTCTTCCCATCTCCCCTTCTTCTTATTCTTTGCAGATATAGGAAAAAATGCACAGTTGTAGAATCTTTTTCCAGTCTTCTTTCTAGAGGATCATTGGAACAGCTGACTGAAGGTAAGAGGCATTTAAAAGATTTTTTTCCCTTTCTTTGAAAAGTTAAAACATGATCATGCTCGTAAAATTCAACACTTAAGTGTATAATGTAAAGTAAATGGAATGTCTTTCCCTGCTCCCCATCATACTCACCCTACAGAAGTAACCACTGTTAATTCTTGGTCTTCAAGCCTTGCAGATTTTTCTCTGTATATATACAAACATGTACAGAAAGTACACATACGATTTTTGTAATTATTATTCATTTTTTGCAAGCATAGGCTCACATGATACATGTTGTTCTACAATGTGATTTTTGACATTGACTTTTCCCATGTCAACACTTATAAATTGTACTTCATTCTATGTAGCTATGTAGGATTCCATAGGCTAGGCACCACACATACTTTTTCTCTGTTGAAGGACAGTGACTTTTTTTTTCACTATTACAAATAATGCTATCCTAAAATCCTTGTCTTCATGCATTTTTTTCAAGTATTTCATAGGAGAGATTCTTTTTTTTTAACATTTTTTATTGAGTTATAGTCATTTTACAATGTGTCAAATTCCAGTGTAGAGCACAATTTTTCAGTTATACATGAACATAAATATATTCATTGTCACATTTTTTCCAGGAGAGATTCTTAAAAGTGGAGTTGTTGGGACCGAGTGTTTGAAAACTGAAAACATTTATAGATGTTACCAATTTTTCCCTCCAAACTTAGATCATTTTATATTCTTACCATCCATGTGCGATAGTTTGTTTTTCTGCAAGCTATTAATTTTTTCTCAAGGTCAAAGTAATTTTGACACCTTTAAAATAATAATGATGTTTCACAGTATGGAAGATGTTTGGTTTGTGGTCATTTAGGAATATTCAGGAATCCGTGAATGTCTGTGACATCTTGATCCAATGGCTGGGAGGAAATGACTCCTCTTGCTGTCACTTGCTTGGTGTTCCCACAGAGATCAGGGCAGAAGTTCCATGATCCACCCTGTTTTATTAGTCTCATTCTCTAGTCGGAATGGTTTACATGAGAGGAGCATCCAGATACTCCTGTGGAGGAGAAAAATAATGCTCTTCAAATGTGGCTGTTGTGAAATAAAGCTTCTGCCACCCGAGGAGAATTTGTGCCTGTGTTGTCAGTTGTCAACTGTGTTCTCTGGAAAAGGTCACAGGAAATCGTTAAAGGAGCCGTGGCTGATTAAGGCAACGGCAATTCTGGATACTGCTGTCAGCCATTCTTAGTAGTCAGGTGTGTGCCAGACACATTTTTTAGTGTGTTTCATCATGAAGTTTTGTTTGCTTTGTTCGAAGAGTATTACTAGCTTGTTATGGGCCTTGGAGAACTTGGAATCACTGCAGTGTTGATTACAGGAGGGGGTCATGAGACTGGTTCCAAAAGGCATGGCATTGGCCCTAAAGCCATTGTAGAGCATTTCACTGGTCTCTCCAGGCAGCTGAAGCCCAGCATCTTTTTCTCCAGAAACTGACCTCCAAGAACCAATAAGAGTTTATTTTTTCCCCTTGATTTCAGATAGGATATTTTTTCATTTTAGGGCCATTTATGTAAATTGGCCCCAGGAGGCCTGAAGTCCAGTAAATTAGATCAGTGGGAAATTAAATGGGCCCCAGAGAAATTTGACTCATTTATCTTCTCGTTTCTTCTTTCCTCTGTGTGACTTCTCTCCAGTAGCCCATTGCTCCCTGCCTTCTTTTTTCTTTGCAATATAAAGGGTGACATTTGAGGCTTTTTTTTTTTAACCTTAGTTTTGGAAACAGTAGCATGGTATTTTGGGTGTAAGTGATAATAACAATAGTAGCAGTAGCAACAGCAACAGCAACAACATAAAAGCATAGTAATGATAATGCCCAATTTCTAAAACGCACTTTCTGGGTGTCAGACACTATTATTGGTGCTTTCCTTAACATTATCCAGTATAGGCTGTGTAGCTTCTCTTTTATAGACTAAGAACTTATGTTCAGAGAGATTAGAAAAATGGTCCAGGTTTCCCTGCCTAGCAGAGCAGGGTTCAAACCTGCCCTCCCTAAGCCAGGGTTCCTTCCACTGTACCTGGCACCCTCTCCTGTAGGTGGGTAGGAAAGGGCACAAAGTGTGTCACTCACGGATGAGGAAACGTTGAATTATTTCTATGTTAGACATCTTGAAAACAGAAGGTATTGTGTTCTTATCTTTTTATTATGTTTTTGGGCATGGCAAGTTTGGCAGTACTGAAAAATAAACAACTATGAGATACCACTGCACACCTATTAGAGTGTCCAGAATCTGGAACACCGACAACACCAAATGTAGACGAGCATGTGGAGGAACAGGGACTCTCATTCACAGCTAGTGGGAATGCGAAATGGTACAGACCACTTTGGAAGGTAGTATGGCAGTTTCTTTCAAAACTAGGAGCTGGAAGCTTAGTGTTAACACAAAAATCTGCAAATGAATGTTGATGGCAGCTTTATTAAGAATTGCCAAAACTTCTCCTTCAGTAGGTGAATGGATAAATAAATTGTGGTACATCCAGACAATGGAAGATTATTCAGTGCTAAAAAGAAATGAGCTATAAAGCCATGAAAAGACATGGAGGAAACTCAAATGCATATTGCTAAGTGAAAGACACCAATTTGAAAAGACTTCATACTGTATATGAGATTATGGAAAATGCAAAACCAGGAAGACATTAAAAAGATCAATGGTTGCTGTGGGGTGGGGTGGAGGGATAAATAGCTGGGGCACAGAGAATTTTTAGGGCAGGGAAACTACTCCATATGAAGCCATGATGAGAGATACATGTCGTATACAGTTGTCCAAACCCATACAGTGGACACCATCAGGGGTGAAGCCTAATCTAAACTATGGACTTCGGGTAATTGTGATGTCAGTGAAGGCTCATCAGTTGTAACAAGTGTACCGTTTGGGGGCATGTTGGTAATGGGAGAGCTTATGCAAAGGCTACAGGGAAAGGAACACATGGGAACTCTCTGTACCTTCCCCTCAATTTTTCTGTGAACCTAAAACTGCTCTTAAAAAATAAGATCTCAGTGAAAAAACCATGGAAATAAGTCAGCTTATGACTTCTAGCCCATTCTGGTTTATTAAGATTTTCATGTCTAAAGGCATACTTGGCTAACACTTGAGTGCATAATGAAGACATTTCCTTTAATGGACTAAGGAATTTAAAATTAAGAGATGTTCTGGTAGGTACCTACTCGTAAATGCCAAATATCTGACTTAGAGAGCTAAGGACTGCCCAATAAAAATCAACCCGAGTGAAGGAATAAGACTTTTATAAATTAAGTTGCATTTATTCCTACTGAGTTTGGCCGTCATTGCAGCCCAAACAGACTTCGTGTTCAAGGGAGCGTGTCAAAACATTGGAGGTTTAGTGTCTGGTTTGTTTTTCCCCTTGATAATTTCCACTTCCATCCTTGAGTGGCTGGTTGTCTGCAGGAGTGAGGATGCTTATTGAAACTTTTTGTGGGTTTAACATGGCACACACCCTTTCTTTCCTCATGGCTGGTGCATTGCCCTGAAGTGCTTTCACACTGCCTTTAAAAACAGATGTTTGTATGCAGTGCTTAGGTTTGAAAGGGGTTTAATATGAGGATTTCTTACACATGGAATACAGAGTTCAGACTTTCTTGCCTTTTATCTCTGTCTTCTTGTTACATCCTTGGCGCTGCTCTTAGGTGTGTCTGTCTCTAACATAACCCTGGTCCATCTGCCCTTCTGCTCAGATCTCTGCAACGACTCACCGTTGCCCACTGAGTGAAGCCCAGACCCTGACATTCAAGGTTGTCCATAATTTAGCCCCGACTTACCTTTCCGGGCTCATTGCCCATTCCTCCCCATACACACCTCGTCTGCAGCCAAAGGCGCACCACTGCCCTTGCCACGCGGGGCCCCGCGCTCCGTGCCTCTGCTTGGGCTGGTCCTCCCCCAGCAGCAGCCTCACCCGCTCCGCACGTCCCTCAGCCAGCAATCTGGGTGACAGAGCAGGCTGTCAAAGTGAGTAATTACGAACAATTCCCGCTTCGTTACGAATTTGACGGGGAAGAGGATACTCAAGTGACTCTGTAGAAAGAAAAGTTCCCGGTTTCCCCCCACCGCCGAGCACACTGAGAAAATGCAGGGCACACTTTGAGGTGAGGTGTTCCCAAGGGCTGTCAGGGCTGCCAGAACGTGCTTGGGCCGTAACTCCTCGAGTTCCATCTGTCGTGAGGTTGGCCCCACGTTACACGTGCTGTTGGAAGATCTTAGCTGCATAGTTGCTTCTTTGTAAATCAGTTTGGAATGTGAGCATGGCAGGAAGTTGAACCAGTTTGTGAGTACTATTGTGTGTGTGTGTGTGTGTGTGTGTGTTGGTAGGGGGGTCCTGTGTGTGTAAGAGAAATAAATAAAGCACTTGTTCTTATCCAGTTTGATTCAACAGCATTCCCATTAACATAGAAATACTCTATTTCTCAGTGACTTGGCGTCACATGAAAATGTTCTGCTTTCTGAGCTTTTAGCACAAAGCACAACATAGATTCAGGGCAGTCATCTCAGTGAAAGTAGCTTTCAAGTGCTTTCTCTGCACCGGGAGCTCTACCTGCAGCACCTCGTTGAAGTCCTCAGCTATGAAGTAGACATGTCATTAGCTGGGCTTTGTGAATGAGGAGACCAGCAGAGGGAAGGACAGGTGCTTGCTCCAGGTTCTATAACTAAATCCTCCAAGCTCGTTTACTTAAAAACACACCGGTTTGCATGCCACAGGGAAAACAGGAATCTGTTGATTTTGTTTTTGCCAAAAATGCAAAGTTTCCTCCCTCCCCAATTTCTACAGGTGTAAATGGGTTGTTTAGGAAGATAGGCCACGTGTTTTGGGGGACTCCACATGGCCGGGGGTACATAGCTGTTTACGTAGCTGTTCTGTGAGTGCCTCGTTCCTGTGCTAGATAGCTCAGTGATCAAAAGAGCCTAGGGCTGTGCTGATGCCAACTAACCCTTTCTACATCAAGTCTTCCATGAATGAGGAGCCGTGAGCTGGGCATGCGGGCCAGTTGTTTTTCATAGAACCCTAGGGGATTACTACTTCCTTCTCAAGTTAGCGGTGTGTGTAATCATTGTCATGACGGTCATGCTTTCACATTTTAGAAGCTTCAATTAGTAGATTGAAGTTAGTTTTTCAATCTATAACTGTTAAACTTGCCTGTTACCATTAAGTTAAAAAATAAGTGGTTTCCCTTTTTCCCAAAAGTGCTTTTAAATTTTAGCTTCCTCTGAGGAGCTGAGTGAGGGTCTCTGACATCAAATGCCTGACTCTTGGCAGTTAGATTTGAATGGAGCCAAAGATGACTTCCTTGAACCATTTCACACATTCTGGAAAGATCTCAGGCTGAGAGCCTGAGAACTGAGGTCCTCATTCACTTTAATGGAAGCACCGAAGCAACCTGGGTTTTGTGTCTCCCTTGGGTTCATTTATCTCCCAGTCTTTATTGAAGATTGCAGAGCAATTCCTGTGGATGTGGGATTTTCTTTAATATTCTTTTATTTGTTTTTAATAGAGGAAATGCATGCCGAAATCTGTTATGCCGAGTGCCTCCTGCAGAAAGCAGCCCTCACGTTTGTGCAGGTAACCATCGTTTGGCTCCATATCCCGTATCACCCGGGAAGCCTGCCAAGCACTACACAGGAAAACTCTGGCTCGTCCTGTCAGTGCTTCAGTTCTTTCTGCTTAGAGTTGTAACGAAAGATGCTTGTTATTTCTGATAAACTTTGGCTGGAAGAAGACCCCCAGGGAGTTTTTTCCTACTCAGATGCACTTAAAAGAGTCTGTTTCGAACTTCAGTCTGTTGGGAACCACTGCCTCTTAACGAAGCTGTCTTGCAACCCCCACACCTAATTCCAGGATGTGTCTCTGTGTGAGAGCGGGGAGACGCTCCCTCTTGGCGCTTGCTGGCGGTGGACGGCTGCACACAGGCGTGACCGGGCAGAGCAGGCTTCATCGTCCCTGGCTGTTCCCTTCTTGCACCAGATGCTTCGGCAAAGCTCAGTGATGCATGCAGAGAGCACCAAACGTTCCACATCTGCTTCAGATTTGTTTCCATCCTCTTTATATTCTCATTCCCCTTTCTTACTTTTATTTCTTCCTTTGGAAGAGCCTTTTAAAAAAGTGACTAAACAAACCACTGGAGCCTTTTCTCATGGAACATTTAAATTTCACCTCTAGGAACTGTTACCACCCGTACCGCCAGCATGGTAGCTTCCAACGTTTTAGAAAAAAGTACGGATTTTAACATCATGGCTGTGCAGGCAGCAGTGATGAGTGATGGATACAGTGGGGGTGGAGATTACAAGGGGTAGAAATTCAACTGTAAACTGGCAAATCTTCCTCAATCCCAGAGTTTTACATTATATTGAGAGTTGCTTTTCTTTCTCTGGAGGTTGACCTCCTAGGTTGGAGGGTTAAGTAAAATGGAATCAGTCTGGTCTATGACCCTGTTTCCTAAAACCCTACATATTATAAAGGCTGGTTGAAAAGGGCAGTCTTACTGCCTCAATAAATAGAATGCTAGTCACGGAGGCCCCCAGTTTTTTCTGATGTGTTTTCCAGATGGGGATTTGGCAGTCAAATCATTGACTTGAAGGTTCATTTTATGTTTGGGGACTTGTAATTCAGCACCTGGGAGATATCCATGGCTCTTTCTTCCTCCTCATGTCTCCATATCCAGTCAGGCTCACGTCATGCTGCTGTTACCTTTGGAAGGTTTAGCAGCTCTGCCTCTTCCTCCTGATTCTGACTGTAATTGTCCTGGTGGGGATGCTCGTCAGCTCTTCCCTAGCCTGCACGGCAACCTAGGGACCCGCGGTCTGTGGTTGCTCTTCCCTCCAGCTCACTCTGCATTGTGCAGCTGTGCCCCCTCTCCAAAATGCGGTCTCACCTGGTCATGGCTCTGCTTCAGCATTTAGTAGCCCTCATTGGCTGTGGCAGTGGTTCTGTGTCACAATACCACACATGGGGAAGGCTTTTTCAAATTAACTGGTATCGCCCCCCAAATTCCCTACGCCCCTCTCACCACTGTCCTCAAATGCTCCTGGCAGGTTTGTTGCATACTTGAGTGGCACGGGTCCAGGTAGCTTTCTCACCTTAGTTATTCCCTTCTCTGCAGTAGGTTTCTGCGGCAGTGCTGAATTACATAAGCAGATGCTAAGCACACCGCAAGCTTTAAGGCTTCCTTGCCTTTCCCTGAGGTTGTTGTTTTTTTTTTTCCTTGCTTGCAAATTTCATATCTGCCTGGCCTTACTTCACCTGGTTGCTTCCTAATCATTTTGTGTGTGTGTGTGTGTGTGTGTGCGCGCGCACACATGCATGTGTGTATGGGCTTTAAGCACTGATGCTTCCAGGAGGCTGTTGTGGACCTCGGCATGTCCCCACCCACCTTTGTGCTGTCACGACCTCCTGCGCCTGTCTCCATCCGTGTGCACGCCTCCATCCCTTAGTGCATTGTGTTGCTTTCCCCGGATGTTGCCTTCGGGTGCCTGGTGTAAAACAGGCATTCAGCAAATGTTTGGAAAATCATGAAATGGAATATTCTTATTTGAGGTAGATTGTAATCCCATTTAAGCAATTCTTTCCTGTGTTGCTTAAGTATTGGAACATGAGTAATCATCAGGGTCCTTAAGAAGATAAGCATTTAAGTTGAATAGTGAATTTAATATTTATTAATTCTTGCAGTAATTTAAATATTAAATTTTTAAGTACCTAATGAAATTAACAAACTGAAATCAGTTTTTCTTTTGCTTCAGAAGGATGCTCAAGTGCACAGGAAATAAATTCCAGAGCATCTTTCTGATACTGATGGACTAGAAAAGCATTCTTGGAAATGCAAAGCATGGGACCGTTTCTATTAGCACCGAGTTTATTACAGTAACATCCTTCAAGCAGTTGTTTGATACACTTTAGTAAGAGACTCTTGGATCCTAGAATGCCGACTCTGAAAAAGTCATTCATTTAGGCCAGTTGCCCCAGTTTGAGGGTTGAGGACCATCAGGCAAAGAGAAATGAAGTGATCTTTCTTCTCCCCCCAAAACAAAACCGCATATTAGTGACAATAATTAGAATCCAAATCACTTACTTTTGGTTTGGAAATGTATATGAATTAAATTCACAGTGTTAAACAGACTGCCTGCTAAAGTACCTTTGAAAGAAGAACCATGGCCCATTTATTTGGAGTATGACAGACAGGAAACTCAGGCCTTGGAGCATAGCCTTGAAGTCAAACGTTTTGAATCCCACTGAATGCAGAAGAAAACTGCTGAGCATTTGGTGACGTTTATTAGAGCAGGTTTGGACTAACCTCTGTGGCCCCTGGTTGGTGAGGATTACTTCCCTAATTACTTCCTTAAAGTAATACAAGGATTTAAAAAATGTTTTCTTTTTGTTGTCCTGTAACTTGGAAGAAGAATGACCAAAAAAAGTGGTTCAAATGTAAAGCAAGAAGAACGTTTTAATTTAAAAATCATGCTCTCAAAAGACAGTGTTTTGTTCTAATCCCACAGCTACACAGGGGACAGCTTAAGACTCTTTTGCTGAATGATCTAATTATTTAATTGTTTTCAGGATGAAAATATGATCAACTTCATCAAAGGTGGACTCAAAATTAGAACAAGTTACCAAATATATAAGTAAGTTAAAAATTAAGATTTATTTAAAAAAATCTCACAACGAGGTTTGTACCTTTTGGACCACCTTCATGTGGCTTTTAAATGATTCTTGTACTAGATACCACTTTGTACTCCAGGTTCTCAATGAGCGTGACTAGGATTTTTTAATCTGGTGTTGGTAAAAGTGCATTTGATCTTTGGCTTAGTGAGTATGTATTCAATGCAGTAGGACAACAGAGTTTAAGTTTAAATGCGATTTTAAGAGAAAAATAGCTGAAAAGAAAGGTACTTACATAATTTCTGATTAGATAATCTTAGTTTCTCTCTCCTAAAAACAATTTGTAAATTTAAGATGACAGGTATGTCTCCGGCCCAGACTCTAGAACAGCACTGCCCAGTTGAATTTCTGTAATGACTTGAATGTTCGATTAAGGGGGACCGTAGTGTCATTCATATCTTCTGTATCCTTACTGATTTTTTTGGGTTGTTCAGTTATTTACTCACAGTATTAAAAATCTTCAGCTTTGATTCTGGGGTTATCCATTTCTCCCTAACTCTGTCAGTGTTTGCTTTGTATATTTAGAACCTCTGTTATTAGGCTCATATATATTCTAATTGTTGTATCTTCCTAGTGAATTAACCTTTTTATCATTATGAAATGTTCCTACTTAACTCCTTATAATAGTCTGTCTTGAAATCTGTTTTGTCTGATATTAATATAGCTACTTATACTATTTTATAATTTGTGTTTGCTTGGTATATATTCTTTTATTTTAAACCTATCTTTATATATTTAAGTTGCTTTTTGGGGGGTAAACATGTGTAACTGGGTTTTGTTTTTTTATTCAGTGTGACAATTAATATGTTTATACTTGTGACTATCATTTTGCCTTTTTCTCTTTGCCTTATTGGTTTCCCCCCTTATTTTCTGCCTTCCTTTGCTTTAAGAGCATATATATTCCAGTAATCCTTCTATTGTTTTCTTAGCTATAGCCCTCTTGAATTTTTTAAATGTTTGTTCTAGTGATTATAATAGCCTTGTTAATTTATCATGTCAACTCAGAGTTAATATTGTACCATTGCATATAAAATGTCAGAACTTTGCAAAAGCATAGTGTCACGTACCATCTGTTGTCTTTTTCTTAGGATAGTACACTTATGTATGTTACAAACCCCATAGTGTGGTGTTAAACTTTCTCTTTAAAGAGTCTTATGTCATAGTCTTCACTATTTACCCGTATCTTTACCATGTTTTGTGCTCTTCATTCATTTCTGTATGATTTCAGACTGAAGAATTTCTTTTAGAATTTCTTGCAATGCATGCTTTCAACAGTTTTCTGTTTCATTTACCTGGAACATCATTATTTGTGCCTTCACTTTTGAAGGCTGTTTTTGCTCAGTATAGAATTCTTGAGTTACAAGGTTTCCATTTTTCCTTTGTCTTCTTTCATCCCTTTAAAATTGTCAGTCCACTATATTATGGTCTCTATTGTTCTGATCATAAGTCATCTGTTATTTTTACTATTTTTCCCCCCTGTCTGTAATGTGTCATTTCTTCTGGCTGCTTTGAAGAATCTTTTATCTTTGGTTCTTAGCAGTTTGATGTGCTTAAGTGTGGCTTTGAGAAATGTGTAGCTATTATTTCGTCAAATATATTTTTCTGCTCCATTCTCACTCTTCTCCTTCTGAGACTCCAATTACATGATAGTCAGACTAATTTTGTCCAACAGATCACTGAGGTGCTGTTCACTTAAGAAGGAAATATTTTATTTTTATATTGGATATTATATCAACATCTGGGCTGTCTTGGAGTTAGTTTCTATTGCCTGCTTTTTCTCTTGACTATGTATCATATTTTTCTGTTTTCAAGTTAATAATTTTAAATTGTGCACTAGATAGTGATGCATTGTAGAGGCTCTAGTTTCTGTTATCTTTCTCAGAAGAGTGCTGATTTTTGTTCTAGGAAGCGTTTAACTTGACTAGACTGAGTCCCAACTTTTACTCTCCAGTAGGGGGCAGCATCTGATATCTTGGTTCCATTATTTCTTTCGTTTGTTTTAATAATCATTTTTTACTATGTTTATACCTTGAATCATCAAATCTCACCAGTATAGAAACCGTACTTCTTATCCTATATATGAAATTTAAATTCATAGTACAATTCTCTGAGAGCAGTCTTATCTTAATTATTTTTTTAAATGTATTTTTATTGAAGTACAGTCAGTTTACAGTATTGTGTCAATTTCTGTGTACAGCACAATACTTCAGTCACGTAGGAACATATATACATTTGTTCTCATACTCTTCTTCACCATAGGATACCACAAGATATTGAATATAGTTCTCTGTGCTACAGAGTATAAACTTCTTGTTTATTTATTTTATATATATTAGTATCTGAAAATCTCAAACTCCCAATTCATCCTTTTCCACTCCCTTCCCCCCTGGTAACCATAAGTTTGTTTTCTATGTGAGTCTGTTTCAGTTTTGTAAATAAGCTCGTTTGTCTTTTTTTTTTTTTTTAGATTCCACATATGAGTGATATCATATGGTATTTTTCTTTCTCTTTCTGGCTTACTTCACTTAGAATGACATTCTCCAGGTTCTTATGTCTTGGCCCTGCTTTTCTTTGGAGTAAACCCAGTGTTCACATAGTTCATGAGTCAGACAAGAATTTCAGTGGGGTTTTGATACCGATTTTGGGATTTCCTTCCTTTTTGGTTGGTTCTCCATTATGTGAAATTTTGCCCATTACCTTATAGCTACTCTGGCAGTTTTGAGGTCTGCACCCCTTTTTAAGACAATAAGACTGTGGCTTTTGTGTAAGTTCTAGGCACCCCACATGGGGTATACTGGGGAGCACTTTCAGGTGATCAGCCATGTAAATATAAAGTCCCTGTAAGGGTTATTCCCTTCTTTCAAAGTTTAACTCTTCTCCAGTTTCCCACTACCTTTTTTTCACTTTCCAGTGCCTGCAAATATATTTTAAATATGTATTTTGCATTTTATCCAGTATTTATAATTGTTACCTCTAGGAAGGAATCTAATGTAAGCCATGCTGCCATTACTGGAAGCAGAAACACGATATAGTATTTTAAGAGAAACTTTTACTCAAAATAAAATTATATTCCATCCAAAATTCTTGGGGAGGGAGATGGGATTTTGGAAACCTGACATACTGTTTTTTGTTTTCCTCTTGAAATATTTTTTAGAAGTTATAGAAGAATGTTAAAAAGTTGATTGCTTTTTCAGTGTGTGTCTGTGTTTGCACGCATGCATGTGGGCATGCCAATGTGCACGTGTGTGCATGTGCTTCTGTGTACACATACATTTCCCTGAGAATTCAAAGTGTACTAAAAACCTGTATGTACATAAGTCTCTTAAAACCAGGGGGAAAGATGCATACTTTAATAAATGATTTGGGGAAAATTGACTTTTCATTTTGGAAAAAAAGACTATAAAAGCTAAATTCCGTATAGACTTAATATTAAAATATTTTTAAAAGAGTACAGGCAGAAACATAGGAAAGTATTTTGATAGTCCTAAAGTACAAAGGCCTTTAAACTTCTGTTTTACTTAAAAATTTTTTCACTTTGAAATAATTTCAGCATTTTTACAAAGAATTTTTATTTAGTCTTTTGACACACAAATTGTAACATCATATAGAACTGCAGTATAATTATTAAAATTAGAAAACTGACATTGATACAACATTATTAACTTCTTTATTGACTTTACTCAAATTTTTCTAATTGTCCCACCAGTGTCCTTGTTCTGGTCCAGGTTCCAGTCCAGGATCCTGGATGTTGTATTTAATTGTCACGTCTCCTTAGTCTCTTTTAATCTGGAAGAGTCCCTCAGAGTTCTCCAGTCTTTCTTTGTCTTTCATGACCTTGACATTTAAAAAAAATATTGGGCTGTTACTTTTTAGACCATCTCTCAGTGTAGACCCATCTAACATCTCTTCGTGATTAGATTCAGATTTTGCATGTGTGACAAGAATACCATAGAAGTGATGCTGTGTTGCGTCCTTCTCAGCGCATCATATTAGTAGATATATGATGTCAATTTCAGAGGCCTTTTAAAGTGTGATGTAAAATCAGAAGCCATAGAAGATTGACTTGACCAAATAAACATTTAAATTTCCATCATGGCAGAAATACACCATAATAAAAAATATGGATGGAAATGTGATATAAGTGACTCAGGGCAAATGACAGTGTGAGAAACTCATAGGTTGGTGTTGGTGGGAGTCTAAAGTGATGGGGCTTTTGTGGAGGATGTTCTTGCACTATCTCTCAAAATGAGGAATATGCATCACCTTTGATCTCAGAAATTCTTCTTCTAAGAATTTATCTTAAGGACGGTTAGGATGGTATGACTATAGTTACAGTACCTAATGTGGGGAAAGTACTTGATGAATGTTTAAGAACACACTTAGCAGCATTGTTTATAGTGTGAAAAGTTGGAAATGTCTTAAATATTTAAGAACAGGAATTTGGTTAAATAAATTATTCCATAGGATGGAATAATATGCACTTGTTAAAGAATAAGGCAGCTTTCATGAATTTTCATGGAAAATCATCAATATAGCTTATAGAACAGTATATACAATATGTTCCCATTTGTGCTTTTTAAAGATTGTGTTCTTAGCAAAGCGTAAAAACAACTAGAAGATTATGTACCAGGCTGTTAATAGTGACCAGCTCTCTGTGAGGTGGTTGTGTAGGGACATTTAGGCTTTCTCCATATTATGTGAAAATTTTGTAACAATCATCTATTATCAAATAGAACATTTACATTTTGATTAAAAAAAGAAAAGAACCCTGAACATTATATCCACATCCTACCATCCTGTGGATGTTTTGACATTTGACTTTTTTAATGCATGTATATAAGCATATGTAATTATCTTTTTATATAATGAAATTAGCCGCTTTGTGTCATTTTGAAATTTCCTTTTTCGCCTCATGTCAGAAAATTTTAGGTCATTAGATATTTTTGATTCATCATGGCTTTTAATGGCTGCATCGTATTCCATTATGTGGCTGTACCACATGTGTATGCATAAATGTATGTACTCACGCAACTGTCTTCTTGACTGTTTTCCTGTTGCTGCCTATTTAGTTTGTTTACAAATTTTTGTTATGGGTAGTAATGCAGTGTCTCTCCTAATAGGTCAAGTTTTGTGTGTATCTATGCTATTTCTTTAGAATAAAATTAGATTTTTGGGGGGACAAAGATATGCATGAGTTTAAAATTTCTGATATATATTGCAAAATTATTCTGAAGAATAATTGGGTTGGCAAGCTTTTTCTTAAAATCAGACAGTAAGTGTTTAGGCTTGTGAGCCATACAATCTCTGTCCCAGCTACTCAACTTTCTGACTGCAGGGTATGAACAGCTGTAGTCTATAAGTAAATGAATGGTTGTGGCTATGTTCCAATCATTTGCCAACCTCTCCACTATAACCACCATTTTACCAGAAGTACATGAATGTGTCTGTTTGTTCATACCTTTGGCAGCATTGGTTTTCCATTAAAAAATTAAAATAATTATTTAATATCACAAAAGTGGCATATATATTTTGGAAAATTGGGAAACATGGATGAGCAAATATTAAAATACACACACAGATACGTACATACAGTGATTATGTCTGTTATCACTTTAGTATACAATCTTTAAAAATATATATATATACATATTTTATATAGTCCGTTTACAATTTTGTATCAACTTCTGGTGTACCACACAATACTTCAGTCATATAGGAACATACATGTATTTGTTTTCTTATTCTTTTTCACTGTAAGTTACTATAAGATATTGAATATAGTTCCCTGTGCTGTACAGTATAAACTTGTTGTTTACCTATTAAATATATAGTAGTTAGTATCTGCAGATCTCAAACTCCCAATTTATCCCTTCCCACCCTCTTTCTCCATGGTAACCATAAGTTTTTTTCTATGTCTGTGAATCTGTTTCTGTTTTGTAAATAAGTTTGTTTGTCTTTTTTTTTTTTTTAAGATTTCACATATGAGTGATATCATATGGTATTTTTCTTTGTCTTTCTGGCTTACTTCACTTAGAATGACATTCTCCAGGTCCATCCATGTTGCTGCAAATGGCATTATTTTATTCTTTTTATGGCCGAGTAGTATTCCATTGTATTAGTATATATCCTTTAAGTTTTTTCTACACATGTCTAAAGATATGTGTTTTTTAACCAAAATGAGATCATACTGTATGCATTATTTTGTAATTTGCTTTTTTCAGTTAATGATCTTTACTTTTTCATGTCAATAAATCTTCATTTCATGTCATATTGAATTCATCTTCAAATTTTCCCAGTTGGCCCCAGATCTCTCTTTACTGCTGCTATTTCAGCACCAGAATCCAACCCAAGACTGTCTAGTGCATCCAGTGTTTATGTTCATTAAATACAGCTTATTATAAAAGGGTCTGTATATTCATGACAGTTGTCATGTGTCAAATGATGTGTATATGTCTGCAAAATATGCCCAGATCTGTTTGGTGGCTTCCTTAAGCTTTCGTTTAGCTTGTTCATTGTCTTAATCAGTTCAGGCTGCCATAGCAAAATACCATACACTGGGTGGTTAAACAACTGAAATTTATTTTCTGACAGTTTTGGAGGTTGGAAGTCCAAGATCTGGGTGCCAACATGATCAGGTTCTGGTAAGGGCTCTCTTCCTGGCCTGCAGAAAGCCTCTTCTCACTATCCTCACATGGTAGAGAGGGACCCTCCTCTTCTTATAAGGCCACCAGTCTTATCAGATGAGAACCCCATCCTTATGACCTCATTTAACCTTAATTACCTCCTAAAATTTCTGTCTCCAAATACAGTCACACTGTAGAGGGGGTGGGTGGATTAGAAGCTTCAGCATGTGATTTGGGGCGGGGGATATAATTCAGTCCATAGCATTCCTCTAGCGCCTTCTAGTTCCTGTAAACTGAAAGCTAGATATACAGTCTTACTAGGTTCAGGTTAAATGCATTTGACTAGAATAGCCATAAATGAAGTCGCATGCTTTACAACTGCAGCACACCAGGTGATATGTAATATCTGGTTATTTCTTCTTGCCTTTAAAAAATAGTTCTATCAATTTGATAAGCAATTTCTGGCTTTTTCCATCTTTTATATCTTTGTCATTGTTTTAATCTGCATTTCTCTGATTAGGTATTTACCTTTTAAAGATGTGAAGGGAAAGGGAGAAATGCATAGAAAAGTAATTAAAGTGAGAAATCAGAAAGATTTGCTTGGATGGGAGAGGGAGAAATAAGAGGACAGTCGTGGGCAGTTGTGATGGCATTGGCTTTTCTCTTTCAGTCTTCCTAGTTGCAAATTCTAATTTATTTGGTCTGTTTGAGACCATGATGATTACACTGAAATGCTAGTCCTTTTGTCAGTAGCCATCTCAGTTACTCAGTGGAAGGCAGGATGCTAAAGTGTGTCCAGCAGCGGAGAGGCTGGGCACTCCTAGGAAGTCTTCCCAACACGTTGCTGGGAAACTGAGATCGCCGTCCTGCGATCCTGTGGCTCCTGGGTCATGCTTGCTGGTATTTGAACCCACTTTTTCTTTAGGCCCAGAAAGATTGGTCCTGATAAACAGTGTAGAAATGAGTGTGTCATTTTCCCTTAATTATTATTGTCCAGTAGCCTTAAGAGTGAACTTAGTGTATCAGCATCCACTTAAAAATACTCTAGTATTTTGGTTAATGATGTTTATTTTGTGGTATGTAAGTGCAAAATTTGACTTAACGTTAGTTTTCAGAGGCATAGTAAATTTATGGTATAACTCTTTTCTTTAACCCAGAGAATGTCTTTCTATCCTGCATGTAATTCAGAAGAACAAAGTTGAGCAACAGTTCTTCTCTGAATTTGAAGGAGGTGTCAAGCTTGGAATAGGGGCCTTTAATTTGGTAAGTAATTATAAAGCAACCAGAATCTTTTGTTAAAGAATCTTAGGTTTTCAGTGCCTTCTCTACTGCATTTGTAGCCTCCCCCTGAACTTCTGCCTGGGTTTGGTTGGTAAGTGGCTGGAGTGGTATCAGTTTTCTTGTGTTGTGACCTGGTGGGGGCTTTGGCCAGAATGTGCTGTAAAGTTCTGCTCATGCTCAGAATAGTTCTGGATTGTGTAACAGAGGGAAGCATGTAGCACTCTGAATGGACTATTAACATTTTGCAGTAGTAAGGAACTTGAAATTCAGTTCTGTTTCCACATCAGAAATACTGCCATAAGCAATGACAGCTCTGGAGTTGAAAATAAGTGAGGGGGCACTGTAACTGGACAAACGATGTGATATTTATGTTCTGGTGCAGATGAAGAGTTTGAGTAGATATTTGTGCATTTGCAATATACTATTTAGAGATTTGGTATTTTATTAAGGTTTGCCTGGAACTGGTGAGAAAAGTAAGTGGTAAAGGGAATCCAATCCAATGCATGAATGTATACACCACCATGGCCCCTTTGTTCATGAGCCCATTGGTGGCTGCCAGAGGTGGCCCAGAAAAGAGGCTGACTGCTGTCCACAGAATGGATCACCCTACCGTCCTGATTATTAAAATCCTTCTCTGCTGAGGTTAGCCTTTGGTGAACATTGGCATGAGACACAAATATCTTCACCCTTTTGCCCATTCTGAGAGGCCTATCCACATACCTCTTCCCTAGACCTCCTTGTCATCAATTTTCCCATAATGTTCCTTCTAAATCCCTGACCATCCCACCAAACCATTGGCTACCACCCGGCATATAATTGCACATGTGGCCATTTCTCCTTCTAAGCAAAGTGAGCAACGAGATGCACTGCTCTGGGAAGTTCTGTACTGGAGGACTTCCCTTCATCACTCCTCCTCAGGGATGTCCCATGGCTGTCCCTGCAGCTGCTCACTGCTGGGCCGTGCCTGCATATCATGAAGAGTTCTATAGACTTGCTTTTTGGAAAAGGAGGCTAAAAGAAGCCTCGTTTGGAGGTGGGCACTGAGGTGTTACCTTCTCACCACTTTATCACTCCACATGAAAGGAGCAAGTATTCTTTAAAGCATTCGAAAGAGGTCAGGTTTTTTGATTTGCCTTTTTAAAAAATTTCTTAGGTGTATTGTCTTAACTAAATGAAATTAATTTACAAGTAATGATTATAGTAGGTGCAATATGTGATGACTGAGACATGTCTCATGACTTAAACTTGGTTCTAATGTTTTGAATTACTAAATCATTGAAACTTTGTTTAGAGTTTTTTTATCTACAGTTAGATGCACTAACACATAAGTGCACTTGTGTGTTTTTTTTTTTTTCTTACAGATGCTGTCCCTTTTACCAGCACGGATTATCAGACTACTAGAATTTATAGGATTTTCTGGAAATAGGGTACAAAATTAATTTCATCTTAATTTTGACAGAGGAGATAATTGATAATTGAATATGAGGGAAATACTACACATCCTTATAACCAACAAGAGCATTATTGGCAATTTGTGTGCAGAGCAATAAAGAGCTGCTGGTTCTTGATCATATTTTTCAGGGGTTAGAGATGGCTTTTCTGTTGAAAGTTGAAAGTTTTCATCATTGTTAACTAAATTCTGGGATTAAAATTTATGTTTTACTCATATTGCTGCCTGCTGGATCTTTGGTGTTCTTGGGCAGTTAAAGTATACTTTCTTAACATTTTTGCCACCCCAGACTTTTCTGCAAAATTAGAAAATTAGGCTAGATTTCCATGTTGAACCCTGTATAATTCACATGGATCAAGCATAGTTGCAATATTTTGCGTTTCCTTGTGTTTTTACAAGTTGCACTATAAAACTAAGCAAGGACATTTGTTTTCCATGAGTTTTGTTTGTTATATTTCTGTATGGTTGTTTTTGTAGTGTATCATATTTATTAATCACAACATTCAATATGCTGTTAGCAGAGTTGCCTTATTGCAAAAGCCGTTCCCTGTTAGTCAAGAGAGCAGGTTTTGAAAAATTATGAAAACAAATACAGGAAGCTGTAATTTTCCCCCATTTATTCTACTGTCCAGGTTCTTCATAAGCTATAATGTATTTATGTGATCCCCTCATGATACGGTCTGTCTATTCAGACTCTATTTCATGGTTACCCTTCCCCTTGATCATTCATCTTCCACCTTATTTCATCGTGGCTTCAAATTGCCCCTTGAGTAAAGCCCAAACTATAGCATTGATTCAAGGGCCCTACGATCTGATTCTGGCCAATGTTTCTAGCCTTACTACCCATCCTTTTTGCTTCCCCAGTGTTCCTGCTAAACTGGGCAATTGGCTGTCTCCCAGATAGACCCTGTGCTTTTCTGTTTCCTTGCTTCTGCTGATCTCTCTTTGGATGTCCTTCCCAACCAGCATCCTCCAAAATAATGTCTCTTGAGAGCCTCTCCATCCATTAGGTTTATGATAAATGTCACTTGTTCTACAAAGTGTTCCTTTATCTCCTCCCAACAAGGCTCAAACGTTCCTAACTTTCAGAATCACTTACTTATCTTTCTTATGGCTCTCACCATATTCCAACAAAATTATGTGTTCATGTACTATCTTCCCTATTTGATGGAAAGATCTTTGAAGACATAGAACCATATTTATTCATACCCACCATAGTGCTTTGCACTTAGATCCTCAATATGCTTTAATAAGTTAATATTTATATAAGAGAAATACAGAGTTTTCTGTGAAATGAGCTCTGCCTTTTCCTCTCCCTAGGATCATGAAGAATGTGTGAAATTGTCGTATGCCAGTTAAAATGTAAAGTTTGTTTCTAGTTAGACATTACTGCTATTCTAAGTTCTTGAAAAATAAACAGCACCCTCGTGGAGGGTAGGGAAACGTGAACTAGCGTTTCAAAGTGTCTGAATGTGATGTTACAGTCACGCTCTTCTCATTCTAAAATGCATTTAATTCCCACAGGAGCTGGGCATCCTGCAGTTACGGGAAGGTGCATTAGGAAGAAGCATGAGGTCTCCACTCTGCTGCTTAACTATACTAGCTTTTCATACTTACATCTCCCTGATACTTGGTAAGAATTGGATTACATTTTACCTCATTGAAAGTTGATTATTTTTCATCTGAGTAAGTAAAAACAGAAAAATTAGTGAAAGCTAGTAGTCTCTCTCTCTCTCTCTTTTTTTTTTTTTGAGTAAAGATGGAAGATAGTGACACTTGTCAGAGTAACTTGGTGGAAAGGTAGAGGATTTCTTTCACTGAATTTTTAAAAAAATCTGTCCTCAGCTAAAAAATTCTATAAAGCTTGTTTAAGATGATCTATTTTAGCATATTAATTTTACATTTTTTAGCAGAAAATTAATTTTTTGGTTAAAATAAGTTCATAGTGCTATTAAAACCAGGAATTTCAATCGGAATCTAAGGCGACCACCTCCATTCTTAGGAATCAGTCTGTCCCAGAGCTTTCTTAAACTCAAGTCAGAGAGGAGACTTGTCTTCTTTTATTTCCCAAGTGTTAAAACGACAACTTATCTGTTTTCATCTTTTCCATGAATAAGTCTTTGCAGTATTTTAATGAAATTTGGAGAATTAGTTATAAATATCAACCATGTTTCGTGAAGACTGAGGCTTTTCCTGTTAAATTTCTAGGTACAGGAGAAGTGAATGTTGTGGAAGCAGAGAGTCTCCTTGAACCCTACCTCCAGCAGTTTCCAAATGTATGCTTAGAATTTCAAGTGTATGTTTCAACCATAATCAGTCAACCAGAGTTGACCCTTGAGCAGCGTGTTTCTCCCTTTCTCCTCAGGGCTCACTCATGCTGTTTTATCACGGCCGGATAGAGCTGCTGAAAGGGAATGTGGAAGAGGTAATTTATTTGAGGCGGTCATTTGTGGAGCTGTCTGGTGGAGCTCCGTCACATACTCTTTCAACATGAGCAAATTCAGCTATATGCACTAGACAGAAGTAAAGGTGAAATATGTAATTGAAAAGCCAAAGTTTAATTTTGTGGATGCATTCTATTATATGTAGTAGATTATATATATATATAAAATTTACATATATATATGTACATATAAAATACCTGAGGCAGTTCAGGGTAGGATACAGAAGTATAGGTGGGCAATTTCAGGGACTTTCAAAAAACTCTGTCTACCATCCATCCTGGGATTACATATGGACCTTGGAATCTAGCCCCTGCCTAAGATGGGACTCCACTGTGCCGCATGTGCGCTCCCCATCAAAGGAAATTATCCACTAGTCCTCTTGAAGAAGAAGAGTAAAGAGCCTTTCATTAAATATATTCACAATTTTCTTCCACACAAATGGGGCCAAACATTTATCTTCTTTCTTGATTTGATTCTTTCTGCCTACAATACATCTTGGATTTCTTTCCAGGTCAGTATATCTAAATCTTCCTCATTCCTTTTGATGGCTGGGTTTCATTCCATAATATGAATGTTCTACTATACTCATTAAAGCAGTCCACTATTGAAAGACATTTGGCTCCTATAAATAATGCTGTTGTAAACATCATTATGTGTATATTTCTGTGCAAAGATCTGTTTATATAAGACAAATTCTGATAATTAGGATTTCTAGGTCAAACAGTTTGCATTTTGATAAATTCAAACAAACTACTCTCCTAACTAAAGACTATTGCATTTAAACTCCTGTAAAGATATAAGAATACTTGTTTCAAATGCTCTTTGCCAACTCAGGACATTTTTTATCTTTTATTTTTGCCCATGTGATGGCTGAAAAAGGATGATCTAATTTTTAAATTTATATGTTCCAGTTTAAAAATTTCTTTACATGTATATTTGTCACCCATATATCTTTTTCCCTGATTTCCTATTTGTATCTTTAACAACTTCCTCATTGGGTTGTTTCTCTTTTTTTTTTTTAAGTAGTTTATAAAATTGTTATATGATAAGGGTTAATCCTTTGTCAGTTATGTAAGTGATGTCTTCTCCCAGTCTTACCCATTGCCTTTAACTTTGTTTACAATGTATTTTACCCTCTAAATCCTGACTTTTATCGTCAGTCTTTTCTTAAAGGACTTATGCATTTTATGTCTTACTAAAGGAAGGAACTTTGCTACTCCCATGTGGTAAAGCTCCACGGCCCCCTCACAAAGTTAAAGAAACAGAATGTAACTGCTGCATGTAAGGAAAGGAGCATATCGTATTGAGTGGTTTAATGAGCAATGATGTTGTTCTTCTTGTACAAAGTGTTTTATGTATTTTTCCATTAGGTTATTATCTCCTTGTCTAATATCTGGATGATCAGCTTTCTGCAATTGACTTATAGGCACAAGAGATATTTCGAAAATGCATTTCAGTTCAAGAAGAATGGAAACAGTTTCACCATCTCTGTTATTGGGAGCTGATGTGGATTTTTGTATTCCAACAAAACTGGATGGAGGCCTATTACTATTCAGATCTGCTTTGCAAAGAGAGTAAGTGGTCCAAGGTAAGGTGCGTTAATGCCATCTGTTTGGTAATAAGCGTACAGGATGATTTTCTTTTAGGACTGTTTGTTCAGAAGTTTGGCATCAACACTGTTTTCTCAACTTAGAGATCCATCAGAGGAGGAAGTATGCATTAAGTACCTGCTGTTTATAACGACTGTCCTCAGCACTGTGTGCTTTGAAAGCCATCCAAACCGTCCTTTTCAGTAGAGGCTTTACCTCTGAAGATGAACTGCACTTATATTTAAAATTATTAAATATCAACAGTGATATTTTTAAGTAGACTTTTTGATGCCCCGATGACAAGGCTTTTCGTAGTAATCAAAATTAATTCTCTGTCCATTCATCTGTTGATGGACACTTAGGTTGCTTCCATATCTTGGCTGTTGTAAATAATGCTCCTCTGAAAATTGGGGTGTATATACCTTTTCCAATTATTGTTTTCATTTTCTTTGGATATATACCCATGAGTAGAATTCCTAGATCGTATGGTAGTTCTTTTTAAGTTTTTTGAAGAACCTTCATACTGTTTTCCAGGTTGACTGTACCAATTTCCAGTCCCGACATTCCCTTTTCTCCACATTCTCTCCCACATTTGTTATTTGTGTTCTTTTTGGTGATAAGTATCCAGACAGTGCACTAGTGTTCCCTTTTTTCTACATCATCACCAACATTTATTATTTGTTGCCTTTTTGACGATAGCCATTCTGACAGGTGTGGCAAGATAGGGAAGGGAGATTGAGATACAAACTGGTAGGTATAAAATAAGTAAGATACAAGGTTGTAATATACAGGGAATATAGCCAATATTTTATAACTACTTTATATGGTATACGATTTATAAAAATATCGAACCATTATGTTGTACACTTGAAACTAATACTATAAATCAACTATACATCAATGTAAAGAAAAAGAAAGAAAAGAGTTCCAAAAGAAATTCTGATCCATTTGTGAGAAGTCGGAAGGAAGGAGATAATGATCTTTTACTTATTTTGTCCCCTTTCTCACCCATGAGCACTATAGTTGTATAATAGGAAAAAGTGCTGATATCATTTGGAACAAGCGATATAAGGATTTATTTCCTTTAATGTCTTTGATGCCTCTTAAATACTGTATCTGGAAGATCTGTAGGTCGTTCCTGATTTGCAAGGTAGAAATGTCATCGCCCAAGGATGCTCTCTAACTAGCTGCTTTTCTTTTCCTCAAGGCAACATATGTGTTCTTAAAAGCTGCAATTTTGAGTATGCTTCCAGAGAAGGACGTGGCAGCAACTAAAGAGGATGTGGTAGCTCTGTTCAGGTAAGCAAGACACCATGTCTGTAACCAAGATCCTGACTGTATAGAGGAGCATACAAATACTGCTTTCTTTTCCCCTAGTGCTCTCCCATGCTTCACCTTCATATTTCTTTATCTGATTTGATACAGAAACTCTTAAATACATTTATCTCAGAGTCTAAATGTCACCCTTTTAGCAGGACTTTGCAGATAGGCCAGTGTAATTGTTAATCACCAGAACCCAAACTTCTGTGTTTTGTTATTGGAGCTTTGCTACTGCATTTTGAACACAGTCTCCTAAAATGGTATTGTTAATGGAAGGTGTTACCTAGCATTGTAAATTAAAGGTGTTGTGTGACCAGAAAAAGTTACAAAACACATTATAGCATACACGTAGTTTTCATTAGTGTGTCAAACGGTCTGAGAAGCTCTGCTGTGAAGTAATCTGTTTAACTTTGTTTAGACCAGTGTCCACCCATCTATCCATCTGTCCATCCATCTGTCCATCCATGCATCAGTAACTTTTATGTTGGACACCTCCTGTATAAAGGGTACTGTGTTAAGTGCTGAGTCAACAGGCATCGCTTCTGTCCTTCTGGAGTTTATAATCTTGTAGTGAAACGAGACATCATTGAAATAATCACGTAACAAATGCAAAGCTATAGTACACGACTGGTTTTTCTCCTCTCCCACCACCCCTTCTTAGTGTCTTGTCTTAGTAGGCTCGTCCTACTTTTTCCAGCTATTGAATGTTGATGCGTTTTATTTCAAAGGTCAATCATAGAACCTCAGCCTTGGGAAATCTCATCCAAGCCAAATGTAAATCCCTAGTTCAGATCTCATGAGTGAGTTCCAGACTCACATATCCAGCTCCCGTTGCCACCTTCACTTGGACATGCCAAAGCCTTTAAAACTCACCGTGTCCAGTCCTCCCTAGCAAGCCTGGTGTTCCTTCCTCTCTCAGTGATTGGGACTCCCAGTTAGCAACAGAGAAACCCGTAATACTTGCATCACTAACACTACCCACTGTCCCTCCGTTCCCCCATGGGAGGAGACGTGTGTATGAGAGGCTAGAGGGGATGATAACTGAGATGAGGTCTGAATGTGGAACAGGATCCACTGAGCGGTGTGGAGTGGTGGTGCTGCCGTTCCAGACCAAGAGGACAGCGTGTGAGAAACCCTGTTGCAGGAGGGAGCCCCACACCTTTAAAGAACTAAAACAGGGTGCGATGCTACATTTTATATGTAGGTCAAAGGAAAACAAAAACCAAGGAGTACTCAAAATATGTCCCACAGAACACAGAATTCCATTTAAAAATAAGACAAAGTGTGTATTTAGCAACACAGAGATCATTGGTATACCGAATAGGAGCTGATAAGGTAATAGAATGGAGGTGGAAACCAGACTGGAGTTGGCTAAAGAATGAATGAGATACAAAGAAATGAAGAGAGTTGAGCATCAATACATCCATGGATAACTTTGAGTGTGAAGGGGAAGGGATTGAGAGACAGAGAGTCAGAGGGAGGTGTAATATCAGGGAGTATTTTAATGGGTGAGATCTGAGCATTCCCAAAAAACACTGGGAAGGATCCATTTGAGAAAGAGAAGTCGTACATACAAGTGGGAAATTGGATAAGTGATATTTGTAAGGCTCTTGAGAAGGCAGGAGGAGAAAGAATCCAAAGCCTTGATGGCAGGCCTGGCTTTATCTAGAGGGAGCACCAGGTCCTCTGTTGTACGGGAAGGGAAGGAGCACAGGACAGGGGCCAAGGTGTGCAAGCTTGTGCGTGGTGGTTGCACGTGGAGGGTGTCCTAGCATCTGTTCTCCTTTCTGGAGTAGGAGGCAGGGTTACCTGCTGAGAGTGAAAGAGAAAGGAGTGGGCAGGAGGTCTGAGGAGGATGGAGAATATTTGAAATCATTGTTGCAGAGAGTAGACAGGGAGGTGGTGAGAGAAGCATGGGATGGGAATGGCTGGCAGTCGAGGGCTCATTTGAGGTTGGTGTCAGTGAACTTACGGTGATACCAAGCTGTTCTCCGTGCAGGGCAGTTGGGAAGATGGATGGGCACAGCGACTAGGCATAGGCAAGGGAGTTTAGGGAATCAGCCAGAGTGTGCAGCAGTGAAGACCGCCTATGTGGCCATCTAAGGAGGAACACGGAGGGATGGGGAGAGAGGAGGAGACTGCTGAGCTGGGAGAAAGTTGAAGGGCAGGAGCACTGAAACTCTTACTAGAACAGCCCGGGTAAAACGAGAACGGTCTTCAAAGGGGCGTGTGCTTGAACTTACGCTTTGAGGTGGAAAAGTGACGGGTGATGGGCTGGTCTAAGTTAAGACTATAGGCATGGGTGGCCGTGGTAGGAAGGAGGTGGCCCCTGGAGATGAGGAAGTGAAGGAAAAGAGAAGCCCTGCTGCCTTTTTCAAATGTAATTGATGACAAAATCTTTTAAATGGAGACCTATATTCTGTGACCACATTATGAGGAATAATGGCTTGGCCGAACCCTCCAACTTGTCAGAACCAATTTGAAGGTGTGACAAGGATCATTTTTTCCTGCTTTTAAAGCAGCTGATTTTAAGAGTAGGACCACGTATACTAACTGTAGAATTAACATTAGTAGAAGCCATGCAGATTAATGCCACGTCTTACTAGTAAAATACATTTCCCCATTTTGCACAAACAACAAATGGAATAGAATGGAATATTAAGATACATTGGAATCTTTTAAATCTCCTTCTTTTTCCCCCGTACTTCAGACTAAATTTTCTCCAGATGAAAACAATTTCTGTGAAACATGTAACTGTCCTTACTTTCAGGAGAAAGCTTGCGGTCTGTTGTATAAGAGCATCTAATTTGTTGGGATAATGATAAGAAAGTCCCCAAAATGAATGTTCTCTTCATGCAGGCTCTATGATCCTTAAACCAGGAGGTTTCACATCCACTGCATGCTTCTGACCCCATCCCCCAACCTCCACCTCACATTTCCACTGCCTCTTCCACTGATGTTAATTAACATCAAATAATGATAAATTTTTAAAAAAGTTTCTTCTATATAGCACAGGGAACTATGTTCAATATCTTATAATAACCTTTAATGAAAAAGAACATGAAAATGAATATATGTATGTATATGCATGACTGGGACATTATGCTGTACACCAGATATTAACACGTTGTAACTGACTGTACTTCAATTAAAAAAAAATTTTTTTAAAAAGGTTCAAACCTCAAAAAAAATTAAATAAGGGGCATTCTGGTTTAAAAGCCGATACCCTTTGAACCCCTGAAAGTAATATAATGTTATATGTCAATTACCAAAACAAAAAAAAATCCATCCTGCAAATGGTGCCCCAAAATAACAAACTTGTCTTCATATTAGAATGTTTTTTCTCTCGTTTCATCTTACTCTTTCAGTGGTGTAATTGGTTAGTTCCGTGAATTTTTCTTGGCAATCTGTCTGATGCATTTACAAAGTTATGTTAAAGAAGGCGCCCTAGAAACATGTAATCTCCCCATGCCATTCTCATTTTTACGTGCTTGTAAGTTTTATAATTGGAATTTCTTAGAATTTTGAGAGGAAAGTTGTAAACATGGTGTATGTCCTTGTCTGATTATTTTTAAAATCACCTATGCCTGGGAAACATTTTCTCAAATTATACATTAATTGATGGCTATCTTTTGAGCCACACTTTTTTATAGATTGGTGTCATACTTGAAGATAGGAATAGGAAATGTACCAGTGTACCCTCTCCCCTCTCTGAATAGCCACAGTGTAAGTAAATACTTCTGACTCCTCGCAACTTGCTTATCGAAATTGCCAATTTTATATCTAGATTTCCCTGACTGTTCTTGATAGGCTAAGACACTAAGTTAACTAGAAAGAAATACGTGTCAGTCAGTGGTTCTCAGACTTGTGGGTGCGTCAGAATCATCTGGAGGACTCGTTAAAACCCAGATTGCTGGGTGCCAGCTCTAGAGCTGCTGATTCAGTAGGTCTGGGGTGGAGCCTGAAAATCTGCATTTCCACCAGGTTTCCAGGTGATGCTGATGCTGCTGGTCTGGGGCGCGCAGCGTGAAAAGGACAGGTGTAAATAACGTACGTGTTCTCATGACCTTTCTCTGGGGCTGGGCCCTTCACAGACAGGTGGATGGCTTGAAGCAGAGGATCGCTGGGAAATCTATCCCCACTGAGAAGTTTGCCGTGCGGAAGTCTCGCCGGTACTCTCCCTCGTTGCCTGCGCCCGTGAAGCTCGTCTTGCCTGCCCTGGTATCTGCCTTTAAGTTTGCTTACTGTTTGCATCCTTGAAGTAAATGGTCTATTCACAGTGTCAGGGAGAACATCTCACTTTTGTTGGGATGTTTGCTCAATTAAAAATCATTGTGTTTGTAAGGCAAACATTTATAAATAGTAAACAAAAATTATAGCAGATTTTTTTGGTTAGTTGGAATGTTCTAGGCAAAATGACAAAGGCTATTTTAAAAATACCGTTCAATTCTTAAAGTAATTCTATGAGGGGAGTTTCTCTGTAGCCAGATAAGGAGATTCAGGTAGAGTGAGGTGAGTTGACTTAATTGAAGTTGAGTTGAATCATAATGCAAGCTACATATATAATTGCACCTTTTCTAGTAGCTACATTAAAAGTCAAGAGGTAACAGAAAATAAAAGGAAACATGACAATCATTTTAAAATATATTTTGCTTGATCCAGTTATGTGCAAAATTTTGTTTGAGCATGTAACAGATAAAAACCTTACTAATGAGGTTTCATATTCTTTTGTATTCTACTAATCTATTGAAATCTGGTGTGTAGTCTGTGCTTGGAACGCATCTCAGGTTTTTTTTTTTCCTCTTATTTTCTTTTAGTGGAGGTACTGGGGATTGAACCCAGGACCTCGTGCATGCTAAGGACATGCTCTATTGCTGAGCTGCACTTCCCTCCCCTCGTGCATCTCACTTTGAATCAGCCACATTCTCAGTGCTCTGGAGCCATCAGTGGCTGCTGGCTGCTGTGTTCCAGCCCAGTTCCAGAGCTCACGTCCTTGGTCGGTATGCCATTTAGGCTAGACTTCATGAAAAGTATAATTTCAACTTAAATTGTCTTAATGAAGACTTCTTTAAAAAAGTACTGAATCTAGCAAATTACGATGACTCTTTAGGGCTTTAGTTTTGTGTTAAGTAGTCAGAAAGCACAGGAAAGCTATTTAGTGCAAGCTAACACTTGCAGTCCTCCTTTGGGGTTTCCTGAATTTTTTTTTAATTTGATTCCAGAGTTTATTTAACTCTTCCCCTTTGGAAAAAATTATTCCCCTTGACAGCTACTTAGTTTCCAGTTTTTACTATTAAAAACGTGGTACAGTGAATATTCTTTTATCTCTCTCATTTTGTACATGGGCATATAATTCTCTGGGAGAGATGCCTAGAAGTGGAATTCCTGATTGAAGGGTATATGCATTTAATACTTTGCATTGCCAGATTGCCCTCCAAAAAGGCTGTACCGATTTTAATTCCTACCAACAGTATTTTACAGTTTCAACGTGCATTTGAGCATCTTTTCATGTGTTAATTCTTTTTTATTTCTTCTGTTGTAAATTGTTGTTCATGTACTTCTCTAATTTTTCATTGGGACATTTATTACTTTATCATTGGCTTATAGGAGCTCTTTATGTGGTCTGTGAGAAAGCAAGCTGTAGCCCCTGACAGGTGTCAGGGAGGAGCTGGCCACCCCTAGTACCTAGGTCCAGGTATTCCCTACTTAAGATAAACAGTCTCGGAGAACACCACATTGACCCGGTTGTTCTGTGCCTGTGATGGGATGAGACAAAAATATGACCACTCTGTAATCATATCTGAGCACAGATAAAATAAGAACATGCCAGTCACAAAAATGACCAGACATCCCGTTTCCCAGCTAGCGTGGGAGCCTGCTGCTATTTGACCAATGACAGCTTTGAGCTCCATTCCTGATTCATTTCTATCAAGTGATACGTGCTGGGAAATGCTTTTCCTTCTGTGTCACTGAACTTCCCTGAATTTTCTAGAGCACCAGAGTCCTTTCTCTGCCCTAACACTTAGATGCTTATGTGTTCGTCACGATACGTATCTTGCTCTGATTACTAAGGGTCATTAGCAAGCTTAACTCCTAGGACTTCTCTTTCCAGGTCTGAGAACTGGCTTGAATTTGTGGTAACTAGGAATTTTACTAAAATCCCATATTTCCTGAAATCTCAGATAGGAACTTTCCTTCTTCTGAATTGAACTCTTACACTATTAACAATAAGAAACTTTGACTGTAAAACAAAAGGTAGTGTCGAGATCTTAGTTTCCTGTGCCATAAGGTAAAGATGACTCGACTCCAGTGAATTTTCCTCATTTTCACTGCTTCTCTGCAAGAGGCTGTCCAAACAATATCTTTATCCTATTTTAAAATGCTTTTTATTTCCAAGACGATACTAATTACCCTCCTTATTTCATACCTTTCCAAATAGGAACTGCACTTCCAGGAAGATTAGAAAAATATTTTCAAGCAAGAGCCCATTTGCTTTTGGTCCAAAAAAAAATTCTCATCTGTTAGCCTATTAAATGCAATTTGCAGTGAGAAATCATTAGTTTACATTTTTAGGGATTGTCATTCAGCCATCAGGCCTTTAAACGAATGCATTTTCTGCATTTTGGATTGAATTACTGGACTGTCACATGTTTTTAATAGTATAAAAGAACCTGAGCCAGGTGATATATTTCCTGTGTTCATTTTTAGTGATGTCCTTGGAAATATTTTGTGTAAACAATTGGCAGATACTGAAAAATGGTTCCTTTCACCTGAAAGTAACAACAAGAATTTATATTAAATAGATTTGTTCATAGTACCGGTTAAAAATAATATATTTCTGCATCTTTGAAAGGCCTGAATACTTCTTAATAAATAAATACTTCTTAAATGAATGAATAAACTAATTTTTCAGTAAAACACAATGTACTATATATGTTGAATTACTTTGCAAATATAAAAGGCAAAAGGCATATAATAAAGCGAGAAAAGGGGAAATTATATCACTAAAGGCCAAATGAGGAAAGCGGAGGAAACCGATCTCAAATGTTGTCCTGAGAACACTAGGAACCAAGGCAAAGCACACGTATGTGGTTTTGTTGTTGTCAAGGACTTTGAATAACCTCTCACAATGGTGAATGTTCTTCCATTTCTCCTCATTAGGAAATGATGTATGTCTGGAACGGTTTCCCACTAGTGAGCAAAAGAAAAGACCTTTCTGAAAATCTGTTGGTAACTGTTGAAAAGGCGGAGACAGCTCTACAAAATGAAAGTAAGTATGAAAAGTAAGAGCCTGGGAACCTTGCCCCTTGCCCCTGTGCACGTCTGCCCATGGTAATTTGTGTGCATGATGAGGACAAAAGAGCTTGAGCCACAGGTGTCTGGGTGACTGCCATCAAGATGAAGGGAGGAAAGATACCTGCTGCAGCATGGGTGACCCTTGGGGACGTTAGGCTCAGTGAAAGTAGCCAGCTGCAAAAGATGACAGAGTGTATGATTCCATTTATATGAAGTATCAAGGACAGGTCGGTCTGTAAAGACAGATAGTAGTTTAGTGGTTGCCTGGGGATGGAGGACTGGGCGTGTGGTTGTAAAGGGTATGGCATTTTTTGGGGGGGAGTTGATGAGAATGTTGTAAAATTGATAGTGGTGATGGTGCACACCTCGGTAATGTGCTCAAAGCCATTGAACTGCACACTTTCAATGGGTGAATTGTATGTTATATGAATTTTATCTTGACAAAGCTGTTACAAAAGAGGATGAAGAAGACAGTTGAGCAGCACCTGGGAAATGTGTATGTCTGGTTTTAATTTGTTGTGATTCTTTTCATGCTTCCTTTTTGCTCTCTAATGATTATTGGTCTTTGCAGACACAGAGAATTGTTTGTTTGCAAGTTGAAATCTACTCATGATTTTACTTTTTCACTTGTTATTTTTGGTGGTATTGGAAGCCCTGCTCCAGTTTACTGAAAGTTCCCTTTACTGGAAGCAGCTGGCAGAGTAGAAGGAAAATCAGGTGATCTGGGCTGATAGTCCCACCTCTGCAGCTGTAAGACTCTGGGAAATATACATCATACATACCCAGGAGGACCTCAGATTTCTTTTAAAATGGGAGTGGTGTTGGACCAGATAATACCCAGTGTTTTCTTGCTATGATATTTTCTATTTCTCTATCATAAATAGAGGCTTTATCTTTTGCTAAAGAATGCCATAAATGGTAGCCTTTGTTGTATTCCTTATCAGCCCCCAAATCATTTAGGTATTATTCCAAGATAATGGTCTTATCCTCTGGATAAGAGGTAAAATGAAAACTCTTGTGATGATACACATTGTAAAGGATATAGAAATTTAGGAATTGGCAGGATAAATTATAACAGTTAACTTGTTTTTCCTAAAGAAGAACATGGGCACTGAAGCAGTACTGACTGACTCCCCACCTCGGGGAAGTAGATTATTGACTGCGGCCCCAGGGATGAGCACCTCATTGGAATCATTTTGTACTTCGAGTACAGTATGGGGCTGAAATGTTGAATGAGATTTTTCTTTACAATTACTTTTAAAAAATTAAACACCTAATTACAATTGATAGATGTAAGTCAACAAAGTCATCCAGATTTTTCCTTCTAGGCACAATTTAGAATTTCTGTGTATGCCATCCTAGCTTTATTTTTTTTATAGTTACAATCATAGTGTACCCAGACATAGTCTAGCCTAGTTTTTTTCATTTACTGTATCTTAACTTTTTTTTCCCATTGCGATATAATTGACATAGAACATTATATTTGTTTCAGGTGTACAACATAACTGATTTCATATTTGTATACATTGCAAAATGATCACCACAGTAGGTCTAGTTAACATCTGTCACCATACACAGTTACAAATTTTTTTCTTATATTGAGAACTTTTAAGATATACTCTCTTAGCAACTTTCAAATATGCAATACTATATTAGCTATAGTCACTATGCTGTACATTACATCTCCATGACTTACTTATTTTATAACTGCAAGTTTGTACCTTTGACCCCTTCACATATTTCACCCACCCCACAACCCCTGGCCCCTGGAAACCAGTCTGCTCCAGTCTGTTCTCTATGACGGTTTGTTGTTGTTGTTGTTTGAGGTTTCACATAGAAGGGAGATTACATGGTGTTTGTCTTTCTCTGACTTATTTCACTTAGCACAATACCCTCAAGGTCCTTCCATGTTGTTGCAGATGGCAAGATTTGATTCTTTCTTATGGCTGAATGTTCAATATATAATGTTCCATATATATATCTCTCTCTCTCTCTCACACATTTTCTTTATCCATTCATCCATCGATGGACGCTTAGGTGGTTTCCATTATCTTGGCTATTGTAAACAATGCTGCTGTGAACATGGGAGTGCCTATATCTTTTTGAGTTAGTATTTTTGTTTATTTTTCAAACAAAACAATTGCTAGATCATATGGTAGTTTATCATAAATGTTTTAATTATTGCTAAGTAGCCCTCGTAGTAATTTCAAAAGCTTTATGGCATTCCATGGGGCTAATGGATCATAATTTAATCAACTCTTTCAGTATTGTTGGGCATTTAGGCTGCCTTCCATATTTAAAACAAGTCTAGCTTTAGATTCCCAACAATAAGGAGAAGAAATATAAAAGAATGACAGCTGAATCAGTGGGCTTATCTGCTAGCAAGCTCCAGGTCTCAGGATGGGTAACTAAAGAATCCAACAGAGTAAAGAGCAATGCTGTTCTGAGGCCACAGACACCACCCTCCCCATGTCCCAGTTTGCCATCTTGGAAATACAAACCAGCGATCACAGGGAGACCAGGTGAGTGGAATATTCTGCTCCGTTACTGGAAGACCGTCATACCAGAGCTCATCTGTTGATGGAGGGTGAGATGTCACCTTCCCATATTAAAGGCAGCATTTTTATAGAAAAACTATGGTTTCCTTTTTCTTCTTTTTCCTCCCCCCTTTTATGGAAAAGTATTAATGCTTCAGCCCCTTTTCAGCTGGAGGTTAGGTATAGTAGCCAAAATACTGAGGTATTCGTCTTCATGGACTGATAATTCCCTTTGATTTCTGGGCACCAGGGAAACAAGTGGATGAGAAAGCTCAAGAAATTGGGACCAAAAGGAGGAATTCAAAGTTTGTACTATTTAACAAAGAACCGAAGGAGCGTATGTATAAGTACAGACTGCAGACTTGCTGTTTGGACATTTTAGACTTTTTTTTGTCTGTGTGTTCCAGGTGTTCTACCACTAACATATTTTCTGTGTAGTGTTTCTATTAATAAGGAGTTATGATAAGCCTCCTTACATTTTTTTATACTTTTAAAATTTTAATTGTAGTAAAATGAACATAGTATAAAATTGATATAGTAACTATTTTTTTTAACTGTGTGGTTCAGTAGTATTAAGTATTTTCACTTGGTTGTGCAACCAGTTTCAATAACTTTTTCATACCCATTAAATAATAACTCCTCATTTCCCCCTCCCCACAGCTGCTGGCAGCCACCATTCTTCTTTTTGTTACTATGAATTTGACTACTGTAGAGACTCCATATAAGTGGAATCATACAGTATTTGTCTTATTGTGACTGCCTTATTTCCCTTATTCTAATGTCCTCCAGGTACATCCATGTTATAGCATATGTCAGAATTTCCTTCCTTTTTAAGACTGCATAATATTCCCTTAGGTGTTTATACCACACTTTGTTTATGTATTCATCCATCAATGCATATTTGGGTTGCTTCCAATTTTGGGAATTGTAAATAATAAATATTTCTGTGAACATGGGTATGCAATTATTTTTTGAGACCTGCTTTCAATTGTTTTAGATATATGCCCCAAAATGGAATTGCTGGATCATATGGCATCTCTATTTTTAATTTTTTGAGGAATTGCCATACTATTTTCTCTAGTGGCTGTACCACTTTACATTCCCACCAACAGTATGCAAGGGTTTCAGCTTCTCTACATCTTTGCCAATGCTTGTAATTTTCTGTTTGTTTGTTTTTTTTGGTAGTAGCCATCTGAATGGGTGTGAGGTGATTTTTTTTTGCTATTTTTAATGTGAAATAATTTCAAAAAGGAAAAATACTTATTTTGATTTGAGTAGAAATTCAACATAAAGCTGCATCATTTTGAAATCTAGCTGAAATAAAACTCCATGAAAGTTTACTTTAAAAGGTGAGGTTTCACACAATGCACTTCAGTAAAATCCGCTTGGGCTTTTGAACAAATTTAGAAGTATTTATTTTTCGAACAAATCTGGCTACTTTTCATTAATCTGCTCGTTTGAACACCCTTAGATTCTCCATACTAGGTATAGTACTTTGATAGGTAGAGAAAGCATTATTCCTGTCATTAAGGGAATTATCTGTGATTAAAACCCATATATCCACAAATTAGGTGGAAAAATAAATATGCTTTAAAATAAGTGGCTATATGAAAACTGAGTGGTATGGAAAAACCCATTTTCCATATCCCAGCTTATGATCTAAATAAAAGTTATGTGTTTTAATGAGGATTTAACTTTCCATGGTATTTTTTCTGTTCCTCAGGAAAACTTACTAAGTGTAAAACATTTGTAGGGTATTTTCTTCCCTCCGAAAGGTAGGCTAGCTTGCTGCTTCTGTTTTCCTACAAAGATAGGGGTTTTGCTTCAGTAGAATAAATTCTCATGTTTGACTGTCTATCCTTTGTAGTATAGCCTAATACGTACCACCAGGGAGTAAAGTCTTTATATATAGTCCTCCTTCAGTTTCCGCGGAATTGGTTCCAGGGGATACTGGAATCTGCAGATGCTCAAATTCTGTAGTCGACCCTCTGTACCCACGAGTTCTGCATCTGGGGATTCAGCCAACTGCAGGTCCTAAACAGAGCTCACGATCTGGTTGGTTGACTCTGGGAATGTACAACCCTCAGATACAGAGCAACAGCTCTGTTAAGAAGTCCTGAAGGACCATTGGGTTTTCTTCTTTTTGAGCTGGCTCTTTACCCACTCCTCCTGAGTTTATTTTGCCCCTCCGTTGCTTGGGGGAAAAATTAAAGGAGTAATATTTGTATCAGACTGTGCATGTAAAAGAGGTTTAGAAAACCAGGATGCTCTCTCCATTCATTCCTTTTTCTTTTAGTAATATATTGAGATGTTAGATTTTAAGAGATATTTAAGCAGAGAGTAGGGAGAGCTCAGACAGACACACCCTACTTTGTACAAATTTGTCTTTGTATGTCTTCCTGCTCCATAAAAAATGTTGGCTTCTTTTCTGAAGATCACTTTTGCTAGATGTTGCACATAAAATGTGTGATGATCCCATGTAGGTCCACTGTTTTGTGCATGATGATATTTGATTCTACATCCCCAACCCCTTATGATCTTTTAGTCATTAAGCTCTTATCCTCCAGAGTGAGGGAGAAAACCCAAAATTGGAAAATGGAGCAAAGTTGTAAACCTGAGGTGACTTCAGCCTCCAGTGAGCAACCCCCTCCCCCCAACACACACACAGACACACACACACACAATGGGAAATAAATGTTTTTGCTTCTCCTACCTTTGGCAAGTGTCTCTAAAGTTAAAAAGTGGTAGAGGATACAATTGGTGTTCTACTCGGATGATGCTGTAGTTAAGAAAGGCCATGCAGAGCTACAAAGGGAGGAAAACTGTCCAAAGACCGACAATCACTTGGTAGTATGCCTGGAGTCAGTGTTTAATTTAATTCCAATTGTGCTTCATTTGAAATCTAACTGAATTCAACATATAGCCAGAAGGTGGTTCAGTAGCTCTGCTTTGACTATTTGTTACAATTAATTTGCTTGGTGAAATTATGTGGCAAAGATAATCAGAAGTACATAAAAGAGGAAGTGTTATGGCTTTTCATTTTCTAAATCTGTTTCCACAGTTTTCCTTTGGTGCATTTCAGCTAGCTTCTAAAAAGTTTATTGTAGATGTTTTTGTAGTTTGGGCTTCAAACTTCCTTTTTCCTAAGCTTACCCTCTTTATGTAAGTTCAGCAGATCTTTTGTGATGACTGTATGCTTTGGTCGCATTATTGTGTAATTTCCTTAGTGTGTAAAATGGAAATTGTGTGTTTAAATACTCATCCATGAACTTGCCCGTGAGGTGATAGTCATGACAAAGCTTTCATATTTTAAGGGAAAATATTCATCTGATAGGTAGAACTCTGTGATCTGAGGAAATAATGGTTTTGCTTTCTAAGGTTTTTGGAGGAACATAGTATCTCTGAATCCATTTTCTGTATCCCTAACTCATGATCCAAATAAAAGTTGTGTGTTTTAATGATACTGTAACTTTCCACGGTATTTTGTCTGTTCCTCAGCAAAACTGTCATTCACTGAGCACTTAGAATGGTGTGATAACACAAACTGCCATAAAATGCGACCCAGAACTCAACAGAATGTGCAAGAATGTGCAAAAATGTGCAAAGAATGTACAAAAAACAAAAACAAAAACTTACCATCCAGTATGGACCCTTAGGGGTTTGGCTCTAGACCTGAAAAGATACTGCTTCTTGAATGTATATTTCAATGAACATCCATGATTAGAAGCATACATTTTTTTTTTTGAAAAAGAATGGTCTTTTAAGTAATAGGGCAGGTGATGTGGCATTGACACCTGTCAGACCTTGAAAGTAAGAGGTGAATATCAGCTATGTTCAGCACCTAGAAGTAAAGTGACCCCTTCCAGTTGGTTAAGTAGCATCGTTCACCTCCCGTAGACGAGCAGTTTACCATGAAAACACTAGCAAGGGCTGATGGTGATTTCTGACGTTTACACTGAAAGCAATAAGTATTTCAGTCTGAGGGGCTCCCAGGGCCCCATCAGTTTGGTTTACTGCCCCTCCCCACCTGTGTTGTCACAGCCTGAAACGTATAAATTATCAGCCTGTCTTGGAATGACTTCTTAGTCACACATACCTTGTAAAAAACGCCTCCCTCCCCCCGATTCAAAACTGGTAGATGTGGAGCGGCTGCCTTTGTCAGATAGATGTCACACGTGACATGGTTCCTTCTGGCTCATATGTATTAGCCTTGGGCTGTAGAGGGGAAGAGTCATGTTCAAAAGGGAAAAAGTCCTCAAAAAAAAACAAAAACAAAAAAGCACCCTCTACATTAGCCTCGAGCAGTTAGATGTTAGCGGGGATTTTCGGTGCCTTGCACGTACTTCAGAGCTGTTTTGTCTAATTTTATGACATAATTTCTTCCCCAAAAGCACATAACCTGGGAGAACTGATAAGTTGTAAACATAATGATCTGGGGAGAGTGTTCCCCTTCCTGAATTTTTAATGGGGAAAAGGCCATCTGCTTCTCCATATGGAAGCGTTACCCTCTTCTGCACGGAGCCAGCACGTGGAGGGGCCAGAACCACAGGAGGAGGCAGCCTGCGTGCTCGCCCGCTTTACCTTTCATAGAGTTAATGAAGCTCTTTATTTACAGTTCAGCCTTCCTGCTGTTATACCTAAGGTCACGTAACTCAGAGAATGAGCACCTGAAAAAGATTTGAAGTGGCTAGAGCGAGCCCCTTTAATAAGAGGGTGTACTAATGTGGCAAACTCAATGTTCTTTTAATTTGAAATATTTTCATTGTGTTTTGTTTAGTGAGGCATAACAAGTGGTAACCATGTTTTCCTTATTTTTAAATGATCCCTCTGAAACTTAAGATCTGTTAGTGCTGCCTCTTAGGATTTTTACAAGTATTTTGCTTTCTGGGTGTGAATTGCCTGTGTGTGTTTTGCTTTAAGACGCCAGCGACTACTCTGTCGATGATGAGTGCTTAGTGAAACTGCTGAAAGGATGCTGCCTGAAGAACCTGCAGCGGCCCTTGCAAGCGGAATTATGTTTCAATCATGTTATCCAGAGGTAAAAGTGGACAGTTGTCCCAACCTGAGTGCAAAGTGTGGTTTGTGGGGAATCGCTGTGAGCAAGTGATGCTTTTATGTTCCGCTACTAATCTTTTACTTGATGTTACCAGAAAGAGAATCCAGTAGCATTTCATGTATTCTTCGACAGCAAAATTACAACCTAGGTGGAGCGTGGCTGTATGCATTTCTACCTGGTGTTCCGAGGTGACTCACAAAAGCTAAATTTACAGCCAGGCTGACAGGTGTCTGTCTAAACTCTGGCAGCAGTTTACTGAATGTCTGATACTTTTTTGATTCACGCATCTGTCTGTCCATTCACTTACCCCACAGATATTTTGAATTCCTACTATGTTCCAGAAACTGTGATCCTGAATCCTAGACACTCAGAGTTGAGTTAACAGGCTGGCCATCATTGTGATAATTTGGCAGGGGAGAAAGACTGCGATGAACACTTAACTGCTTCTCTTTTGGCAAAGGTCACTTTTCTATAGACGAATGAGTTTTATTCCCACCCCCTACCCCGCAGGAGCATTAACAATGATGCCCTGCTCCTTTGCTAAACAGAGAGTTGAGTGGAGGTTCTGCTGCCTGGCCTTCTCTGTATCTGGAGTCACAAATGCAATTACCTCCAAGGGCCAGATGCGTAACCTTACTGAGTGATGGCAGGAATAGGGCTTAGTGGGCACTGCACATCTGCACATCAGGGAGGTTGTGCTCTCTAGAGAGTGCAGCCACTCCTGAACTCTGATGGATGATTGCTCTGGACAACGTGGATCCAGTAGCAATAATCCCTGCAATTTTTCATTAAAAGACTGGAAAATCTGAATTTTATGTCAAATCTCCCAATTTTTAACTCTTGGCTCAATTTCTGGGAGAACATTGTACAAGCCAAAGAGATCACAGCCACAGACTGACAGTTGATACCCTCTGTTCCATATCATGTGTCTTTCCATCTGTAGTGACTGAACCCCCTCTTGCTGACAGTATTTTATGAGAATGTAGGAGGCCTGGTGTCCTTATAAGAAGAGGAAAGGGACAATGTCTGTTTCCCAAATAAGTAATATATTGTCTGTAGTGAGCATGTTAAAGAAGGATCTGTTGAGTTTTATTGTATTGGTGTTTATATAAGGATCTATACTTGTGGCGTTTTTTGAATCTCATAGTGAATCCCTTGCTGGTGTGTTTTCTAATTTTGGATTGTGAGCTCACCTTCAGTGGTATTTTATCTTGAGACTCCTATGAGGCTAGGATTGAGGAGGAGTCTCTCTCTAAGGTGATTTTGGTTTTATTTCTGGCAGTTGCCCCAAAGGCTTTTACAGCCCAGGGCCACTTTCATGTTAATTTCATCACCGAGAGGTTCTCGGACCATTTGGGCCAGGCCACTTTGAATTGCGGATTCATGTGAGGGTGGGCCTACTGGTTATTAATTTCCCAGGGATGTGGTTTTCCTTCCCACCAAGGAGCCAACTGCCCTTGTCTTCCTCCAATGCCAGCAAGAAGGTTTTTCTCATCTGCCCTTTCTCTGGTGGAGCAGGGCCCCAGGTTTACATAGAGGTCACAGCCCTGGCGGCCTTCTGTGCAGGGGCTCACGGCCTTACCTCCTGGGTGGACACTGAGACCCAAAGCCCTGGCTGACTCTTCCTGAATCAGATCTACAAGGGATTTGGTGTCATCCACACACTTAAGGTTCTGGTTTTGTTTTATTTTCAGTTTAAGCGTTTTTCTTATGTTCTGTGCCTTGGAAAGGGTGTTGCTCTTATTTTGTTTTCAGTGCTTCTAGATGTTTTGTAGTCAGAGAATTTTCATAGGATGGCTGAAACCAGAAGTGTTGACCATTTCTTTCTTGAGATTTTTAAGCACTGCAAGACCACAATGCAAAGAGAATTGGACCTTCGTGGAGTCATTTTCTGAATGGAATCATTTCCTGAACACATTCATGTTCAGGAGGGAAGATTTTATCCTTTCTTGGATTACTCTTTAAAGATCCACATGCCTTTGTCTGCCTGAAGGACTGTAAACAATCCTCAGTGCTGGATTTAGATTAAGAAATAAAATGAAAGAGTAGTATGTTAAAGCGCTGCCATGTATTGCCATGGTTTATTAGGTTCCTCAACTGTATAATGGCAGCTTTTCTCTGCTAATAGGCTTAGTGCTGTACCTGTTTTCTTAAGAATGGGGAGAAAAATATATTCGTTGGAAAAGAATGGTATGTTCCTTGTACTGTTGAGACTGAATTGCTTTTCCTTCGCTCTTTTAGTGAAAAGCTGCTGAAGTATGACCACTACCTAGTGCCCTTCACTCTGTTTGAGCTGGCGTTTTTGTACAAAAACCAAGGGGAAGTTGACAAGGCCACAAAGGTCCTAGAAACTGCAAGGTAGGTGGCAACGGCAGCTTTTCCTTGCTTGCTGTGGAGCCAGGAATGTCAGTACTGTTTTTACAGCAGCAGGAGCTTATACCCTTAAAAATGAACACATTAATGAAAAATTAGTCATGATGTTACCTTGGCTAATTTATGCTTGGTTTCTGCTCAAGGCTTTTGCTGTAATTGTGCTGTTTCCAGCCCTCCTAATGCTTGACCCTATACCTGCTTACAAATGTGCTGATTTGGGGTAATTACGTGACAGATTCCTAACCTAGTCTCTTCTGTATCAGGAGTCATTAAACTTTTCCTGTGAAGGGCCAGGCAGGAGGTATTTTTGGCTTTACAGGATAAGGTTTCCATTGCAGCTACTCAGTTGTACTGGAAGTAGCCATAGAAGACAATGGGTAAGGAAGCAGATGTGCCCAGATTTGGCCATACTTTGCTGACCCTTGGTGTATCCCACCATCTCGCTCATTTTCTTAAAGAGCCACTGATTTGAAGAGGCCCTTTGACTGTTCCCTGATTCTTTCTTCTTTCTGACTACTGTGGCAATTTCAAAGCACTTTATCATTTCTGTGGCTCATAGATTTGTGATCATGGTTCACTTTTGGGGGCGCAAACCCTGTGGTCTGTTTGCTTTGAACACTACTTGCAGTGGAGAGAGATTGCTGTGATAGCCCTAGGCCGTAAGTAGCTTAGTGATCCATTGGTTTGTTCGTTTACTCCAATTCAGCAAGTCTTCACCGAGTACCTATGAGGTGCCCGTCACTGGTAAAGGTTCTAGACAGATGACTGGACATAAGCAGGCAGTGTTTCTACTTTCTACCTTGTGGGGAGGTGGAAAAGAAGCAAATAAGAAAAATAGCAATGGTATCACTTTGCTGAGATTTATGACATGATACAGGGCACCTGGGTATGACTTTAGACTGGGTTGATTCTGGAAGGTTTCCTTCAGGAGGTGGTAGAGTAGTTGAGATGAGCATGATTAAAGCCATACTTGAGAACATCAGTCACCAGAACCTTGGGTGGCTAAAGCCACAGCTCGGTAACCTCTGGACAGGGGTGTGCAGGCACTAGGTTTATAATGATGCTTTACTGAAATGGGGAATACTAAGAGGAGCAGGTTTGGGGAGAGAAAAAAAGGCATACTGCTATTTGGACTGTGATATTTTGAGGTGCCTATTAGGTATTCATGTGGAGCTGGCAGTCAGAGATGCAAGCTTGGAGTTCAATGTCAAGTTCAAAGCCACATGTAGATATTTCAAAGTAACCAGCACAGAGATAGTGATGTTTAAAGCTGTGTATCAACGAGGTCATTTGGGGAAACTTACATAGCTAGCAAAGGAGATCTGGCACAGCCTTGGGATATGCCATCATTTTAGAGATTAAACTGTAGGATTAAGAAGTGGCCAGTGAGTTAGGAAGACATCCAGGAAAGCCAAATGAACAAAATGTTTCCAGAGAAGAGTGGTCAGTTGTGAAGATGGCTGCCAAGTGGTCCAGCAAGGTGAGACCAGAGAAGTGGCTGCTGGACTTGGCAGCATGAAGATCATCGGGGACTTTGACAAGTGAGGTGAGAGGGTGGAGTCAGCTACTTCAGGCAAGTCCTTCAGGATGTTTGCTGTGAATAAATCATAGCAACGGGGTGGAAGCTGCAGGGACAGGGTGGAACCAAGAATGGCTGCTGCTGCTTCCTTTTTTTTTTTTTAATAAGGGGAGGATATAAGAGAAAATCACTTTTAAAGTTCATTTGTTGAGATTGAGAATGATGCATATTTTAACTGACATTTATGTATCTTCAAATCTAGCTATTGGAAAATTAGGGACTATAAAATTAGGGACTATAAAAATGTTGTTCCTAGTATTCATCATTTGGACATAGTTAGGGCCACCTGAGCAATGCACAATAAGGCCAATTTATAATGATGAAAATAAAAACCTAGTCATTCACTACTAAAAAGCCAGACCAGCAGTGATCAAAAGTCATCATTAACTCAAGCCAGTGCTGGTGATGCCAATGCAAACAGACTTCCCTGTAATCTCGAGACTGTTGACTGTCTGCAGTTTTCCCTGTACAGTAGGCACTTTGCAAAGTTGCCAAAATTACCTGGGGAAGTACTCGGTTACACCCTTTGGTAAACTCTAGAAAGATGTTGGTTTAGCTCATGAATAATGACCCTTATGAGTAATCACCTTATCAAGGTTACCAGTAAGTAGCCCTTAGACCCGGATGAAGTAAAGGGCCATAGGAAGGAGTGAATGTCACTGTAGAGCAAGAAGGAACAGCTCACCGGTGGGCCAGGTGGTGTGTGAAAGCAGAGCCCAAAGTCCAAGCCTTTCCATGTTGCTGATTCAGAACAATTCTAGCAAAGAAAAGTCCACATGGGTGATCTAAGTGAAGGTTTTAATACTCCGTGGATTTCCAGGGCCCCTTCTGACATTGCCACGTAACAATTATTGACCAAACCACGGACATTTGCCTGTGAGAGTTGGAGTAAGTAAGTCTGGTGTCACCAAGTCATCCTGCAAGTCTTCCTTGTTGATTGTTGTTTCAGGAGGGTTTCGAGATAATGTTTTTTTCGGAGGGGATCAATGATCACATTCACCTTGTTTATATGAAACTGCCTAAAATTTCCAGTTTAGTAAAGGAGCTATTTAGAAATCATTTGCAAAATTTGTTAAGCCCTCCTGGTGACCTTCTTGCGTTTGTGACTGGCTTGGTAATCAGGTAAACCTGCTACTCAGTGTCTGATTTTTAGACCATCATCAGGAAGCTTCTAGAAATACAAAATATTGCCATTCCCCTCTCCTCACAGGGCCAGCATCTACATTTTAACAAAATCCACTGTTATACATATTAACATTTGGAAGCAAATAAAGAATGAAGATGAGAGGAAGGGGAGGAGAGTGGGGTGCCCTGGTTTACAAAGGAATTTTGACACTACAATTCTTTTGTTGTCTTCAGAAATAACTACAAAGATTACTCACTGGAGTCCAGACTACACTTCAGAATTCAGGCAGCTCTTCACCTCTGGAAAAAGTCTTCCTCAGATTGATCAGAGCATGAACGGTGGAATTTTCTCTCAGTTAGTACCGGCATCTGCTATAGATTAGACCTTGCATTAAAGTGGAAACGTGGTCTTGTGAATGAGAGACAAAAAACTAATTTTACTGTCAATATTTTCTATCATCTGTGTGGTTTACAGCTGTTCTACATAAATGTTTTTCCCCCTATGGAATGATGCTCAGTGATATCTAGAGAACTCTTACACTTTGCCTCTCCAGAAAGAATTTCATAGCAGATTTGAATCGGAGAGTGAAGAAGTCTTTTAAAGGACTCACAGGTACAATAAAGTCTAATTAGATTATTTTTTTTAATGTGGAAATGGTTATTGTTTAAGTAGGAAATGGCTTACAACCTGAGCCATTTTTAGATTTGTTGGCCGGTTAAACTTCAGAGATATTTTGCTGCGTAATATTTAAGTTTCAGAGGAGAAATAAGAATCGCCTACATTCAAAATAGCTTAGTGACCTTCTGAAGACTCTTGAAAAAGACAGGCAGTGGGTGTGAATCGGGGAGGGCAATGTAGGTAATGGGCTGAAAAACCTGTATTTAGAAGAGATGATGAAAGGTGGTTTTTATTCCTCATGTAGGCTAAAGGTGGTGACGTGTTTGAGAGACTATCTTGTTTTTGAATGTACTTGTCTATTATTGTTGTAACAAAATTCAAAAACCTCTGTGTATCTAAAGGGAAGAAGAGGTTCTATTTTAGAAATTATCCTCAACCTTAAAAGAGCCTAAAAGATATATGTAGATTATTTTTCTTACAGGAAGCGAAGTTCCTGCTTCTTTAAATGACATGTAAAATACCAATAATTTTTACACTCATAATGTTGGTGAGTCAGGTCTAATTTTCTAATCTCTCTAGCACTGTGATGGTTCCTTGTATATATCTGGACTGTGCTTAGTCCTTCAGTTTGGAAACACAATCAGCGCATGGAGCGGAAGAGAGCTGGACTCTGCGCGGTCCTGGCTCTGCTGTCGGTAGCAGTTACCGGCGTGACCTTTAGGGAGTTGCCTGCTCTCTGCATCACCATATTTTCCTCATCTGTGAAACGGGAAAGAAAGGATGACTTCCAAAGTCTTTTTCAATTTTATAACTGTGGGTCTGTGTCTTAGGTATTTATTTTCAGCGAACAATGTTAAAATGTTTAATCAAAACCATTCCCACTAGGTGTGTGTTTTATTTTACATTCATCACTGCCTCCACTCCTGCCTCCTCCACTCTCCGATATGTACGTACAGCGGCTAAGGACAAGATTGCCTCCAGAGCAGCAAGAAACATTTCGTGAATGAATGAATCAGGGTTTCGTCTTACTTCTGTTTTGAAGAATAACCTGTCACAGCTGCTTCTACAGTTTAACAAAAACAGCCCCAGATTGGCCGTCAGGAGCCCATCTCTGCTAGTTAACAGTTCCTCAACATGGAGCTGGTCGTTCACCCTTTTCCTGGGACTCCGTTTCCCCAGTGGGGAGAGCAACACAGCGTGGTACTCAGTCAGTTAGATAACTCATATGGTCGCTTTCCGTACACTGTGAAAGGCTGTGTGAATATGAGTTGTAGGAATAGTTACAGTTTTTATGTTTGGATTACAGTATCAAAACAAAAGTATCGGCTAAGTCTGTGGTCTCTGATGTAAAATGTTAAAAAGCATGGAAATTCAAACCGGCTTAAATTTATTCGTGTGTTTGGCACTGACAGTAGCTCATGTTATGAGTTTGCTCCTTGCTGTTTATTCCCTGCTACATGAACCTGTATCCAGCAGGTATTTGGGCTTGTTCTCTTTAAGTACTGATTCTTGGCCGATACCGAGGACAAATTTCCAATGGAAGAGGATGAATACGACTTGAGTTGGAGTACCACCTCTTCAGAGAGTATTGGTGGTAGATTTCATCATGTGCTATTAATATGAACTAAATAACTTTAGGTCCAGACAGGAGAGGAAATAAATGAACTGTCATTACAATTAGTAGCAGAAAATCCGTTCAGCAGTTGCTTTATACATTACTTGGAAAAAAAGTGTACAAATGTCTTGGAAGAGCTTTGGTAGCATTACTGTTTTAAAGGTTGAATGCTCATATTGCTTTTGTGGGATGCTGCAAGTCAGAGCAAAACGTCAGCAAAACATCTTTCTGGTGTAAAGTGAAAACAGTCTCAGCTAATGGTAGTTTTTAAAAATTATTTAGATTCTGTATTACCAAAACAAGTATAAAAAATTCGTGTCTCCCATTAAGACTTTTTCCTTTGTTATTTTTTCTTACTTTGTCTGTTTTTTATTTCCTGTTCTTTTGTGGCTCCCTGATAATCCATCCAATGGATTTTAAAATGTTGTAGTATCACCAGTGCTACAGATAATTCTTCTGCTTCCTGCCACGTTCAAGAAACCATGGCGGCACTAGTTTCTTGTGACATCGGCTAATGCTACATTTCTGGAGTAATTTTGTGATTCAGGGTGTTCTGTGAAGAGTTAGAACAGAAGTGACAATGTTCTATCCGCTGTTTTAAAGGGCGTATGTGAGGAGGTTGGGCTGCCAATGTGTCTGACAGTTTGTGTGATCTGTGTGGTTCTTGGTACAACTGCCTTTTTTTATTTAATGGAGAGCCAGGGTTCTGATTGGTGCTGCGTAAACTTGAAACTCAAGTAGAGGTTATGCTTTGTAGGACTGGTAACAAGGAAAGCATGATTTCCACTTGACAGGAAGGTTAGCTATATCAGCTCTTAGATGAACATATATTTTAATGTTTCTGTGCTTCTGGCTACCAGAAGTCCCCACGTTACACAGGGATAGAAAGTTCCTTGATTCTCTGACTCTTCTACCAGTGGGTAGGAGGGGTAGGGAGGTGAATTCCAGATTAATCAATGTCAAAGAAGATTTTTAATCATTAAAACAATACAAGATTATCACCATCTCTTTTGCAAAGGCATGTTTTGCTGAGCTATGTGACTATCATTCCTACGTGGCCTGGAACTTTGCAGTTGAACTTTGAGGTCACTGTTAAGTCTTTGATCAGACTTTCAAATCAGTGGGATGTGTATAAAGAAGAAAGTTACCCCCTTTCAAAGAAAAGTGTGTTTCTTCTTTCGAAGCTGCTGTTAGAAGTAGTTACATTGTGATGGGCACTGATAGCCCCTGCTGTTAGTCCTCATTATGATCCCACTTCTCATCCATTCCTTTAAAGTGAGTCTGCTGAGGTTTTCAAATGGAGATTTTTCTCCCTTTGGACATTAAAAATACTAACTTTGAAAAGTTCTTTGTGATCAACTGGAAAAATTTCTGGCATTATTCTGATTAATTTTTCATTGATTTTTTTTCATACTTCTGGTTTTGTCCTAGTTACTCTCAATATATATGTAAATCATAAATTCAAATACACTGATTTAAAATGAGTTAATGAAGACCCCAGTGATTGCTTTGATGCCCAAAGATTTTGTGAGTCCTAGATTGTGGAAAGGATCTTGGGAAATTATCTCTTCCTCCCCAACCTCTAACGGTGTTGTTTCTCCTTCCTTCCTGCTCCGTCCAGTATGGTAGCCACTGGCCACTTGTGAGATGTGACCGTTGGCACATGTTGGAATGATGCTGAGTATCAGGGGGCATTCGTTTATACATGCCTTCCAAGGTTATGCTTCTGGCTTTTACTTGCTGTCTACTCTGATCACCTAATCCCTGTGGGTGCATTCTCAGTCGTGGTTCAAATATATATTTGTGAGTTTTGCTTTCTCTCTTTAAGTGCCATAAACTTTTATCTCATCCTGTTTATTCTGCAGATGGTGATTAGTCATTGGCATGTTTGTACATTTTCACTCTTCCCCCGCCCCACCTCCCAGCTCCTTATATACTCGATTGAGACTTTATTTTTAAATTATTATTTTAATCTGATTTTACAGATCTTCCTTGCTTTTTGAGATGTAACAGTACAAACTGTTCCAGTTGTAGAGGAAGTGACTCTCACCTTTGAGATATTAGTAGATTTTATGAGTAAAATAATATTTTCTAAGATTAACCTTACTCTGAAAGATGGGGTGACTTTTCATTTCCTTCGTATTATCAAAGTTTCAGCATTGACTCAGCTAGGCCAGTATTCTTCTTTAGAGACTCTTAGACACTAGGTACCCACTTAGAGAATAATTTGGCAGAGAATTTATTTAAAATTATATATTTGCCTTTGCTGCTTGTTATTAATACCTTTAATGTGTATGAAACCATAGGGATATGCATACATATAATAGACATATTTTAAATCTCTTTAGACATTTATTGATCAGATACATAGATAAGTCAATAGATAGAAAACAACTTACAAATATTAAATAGACAATGTCTTATCCTGATCTTTCAGAAGGAGTGCAGAATTTTCTCCCATTTACCCTCCCCTAGGCCAAAGATTTATTTTTCCTTTACGTATTAGATTGTTTGTCATGAAACCCTGCTTCTGCCTCTCATGGTCAGCAGTTTTGTCTTTTATACATCCGTTAGATTTAGCTTCTTCAGAATGTTGAATTTGAAATGCAATGAAAAGAACACACCAGAATTCAGCATGAGGGAAAATACCTTCTGTCCTGAGTAGTTGCTGTCTGCCTTGATGGTGTTTAAGTCCATTCCAGTCTGTATATAACGTTCTAACCACAGGAGGAAAGGATACAAGGACTATTTAGTTGGTTGAGAAGGCTGAGCGGGTTCTTGGCCTGATCCATCCCGAACGGCTGTGTGGGTCTAGCTTTGAAGGGAGTCCAACCCTCTTTCTGTCCAGTTTACAAATGTTTCAGCACAGTAAGACTGTAACACGACTTTGCATGGAAAAATCAAAGCAGCTGCCTCACTGTATTTCACTGTAAAAGAGTGCATACCAGTGCTTACAGATTGGATATTAAATAGGAAAATCCAAGATACTTTAATACCTTCATTAAGTGAAAGTTGCTGCATATTAATATACAATATACCTTGTATGTTAATCCAGTAGTTCTTAGAAATACATAATTTAAATGATGACTATAAGGGATGCTGGTATATCCCAGTGGGAGCTTTTGTTTTATTGCTTAATATTTTTTTAGTAAATTAGTTTTAATTATTATAGTCTGTTTAGCATAACTTAGGGGAAAATTGATCTCAGTGTAACAGAACTGAAAGCCAGAGAAGTGGGATAAAATGAACTTGTTAAAGAATATTGCTTATTTCAGTTTTAAAGGAATTATATTATTTTGAAATGCTGGAGGGTCTTCCTCATTTTGAAGGGATGACACTCCCTGCTTTGGAAATCATGCAGACATTTTAATTTATTCTTTATTAGAGCCAAGTGTCCAGGTGGCAACTTTGGGTATAGTAAATGAGTTTGAACAATTTTCATTAATTACTTCACCTTTTTCCATTAGTGATTTTGTTCTTCACAGTAGGCAATTGCTTTCTATATAGTGATTTAAGAAAATTTACGTGAAAAGAGAGATTATGGTAAACATTATAAATCTTAGGCTATTGATCTAATGTCTTAAGAAAACAGTACCATTGGGTTCTGTTTAACTAAGGTTTGCAGAAAGAGAATGTGTTTGTTTCACTGATATGTACTGTCCAGAAAAATTACTTGATTCTCGACTATATGTTGCATTCTCATGTTAGGGGAAAAATTTATAACTAAGTAGTTGATTATTTTTTAATTTTTTTTCTTTGCTAACTATTGACATTCAAACACCTCAAAGAATACCAGCTGACTCATTTATATACTAGTGTTTTAAAATACTTATTTGCAGATGTTCATAGCACTCTTGAATTTTTTGATGTAAGTTGCTAAATCACGTGTAAAGGTAAAATATATATTTAATAAGTAAGAAGTGTTATTTTATTACTGAGATTTATTTCCAAAGCAAGTTTATTTTGTAGGTATTTCACTTGGAAAATTTTGCTTTGCCTTAAAACATATTCACAAACCTGTCTAGTGATCTGGTCACCTAATAACCCTTCATGTTATGTTGACATGTACGGGAATTCTAGTTAGAAGCCATAGTGTTTTGTGAATCAATATGTGGTTTCCTGTTGAATCATCAAGCTACCTGTGTATACTGTATAATTTAATGTTTTACTGGTAAACATTTTTAGCATTTTATCTCATTTTCTCTTCTCATTACATTTGAACTTATATCCTATCTTCCCCATTCCCAGAGGTCACAGTTTTTACAGAGCGAAATATTTTTAGAAATTGGAGATGTGTGAGTTCTAAGATGAATGTGTTCAGTAGCATCCATCTGCCGATCAAGTAGGCATTGGATCTGGTACCAGAAAGTGAAATAGATTGTAGCTATAAAAGCATTTTATCAATATATGTCGAGAAGGAAGAAGAAAACTGTGAACCTCTTATATATTTAATATCAAAACTGTGTTCCCAAATGAATATTCGTTTGCTGATTTTGTGCTAATGTTATCATCTATGATGTGTAAGCTAATGCTGATATGAGATCTAAATTTTCAACGTGAAGACATCAGTTCCTGTAGCCTATTTTTAACATTAAGACATTTTTGAAAACAGATGTCATCTTAGAAATTGTATTTTTAGCTGCAAAGAAATCATCCCGACTTG